TTGTTATTTTCTTATAAAATTGAAATGATGAAAGCCTAAGACCAAATCTAAAGTAATACCTCAAAAGGAAAACTCATTCCGAACAAAAAACCCAATTGGCAAAAATTTATCATCAAACTGAAGAATAACTAAATTAAGACAAGTATGAAAAAGAGATAAAGATAGTGAATGTACTTGCATGTCTTATCAATGAATCGTCATTGATGGTAATTGGAACCGGTCTCCTATCATGTCCTAGCGAGAGAATCTCTTGCATTCTTTCTGGCCAATCTGAATTTAGAATTCGAGCAAAGTCTGCCACTTCCCTGGTCATGAAGGGTAGCAGGGTCATGTATGTACTGACCACACCTAAGTGCTTCTTTCATGCTAAAAGGTCAACTTTGCAGTTATTAATATTTAATGTTCCAACCCATATGGTCAATCTTAATGTTAGTAACTTATTATTTTATATTTAATCGATGTGAGACAACTTTGCTTTCTTAGCCTAAAATGTATTATATAACTTATGGGTTGGATATGCCAAAGTGACTTAAAGCAGGTGACCCCAAATCATTGGTGCCAAATAAAGCAACAAACACCACTTGACCCGACTCTCATACTATATTAAGATTTGGTGTTCGGTTCTTAAAAATCAAACTTATAATAGTGGCCCATAATTCTATAGGTAAGTTTATTGTTTTAAAATTAAGCGATAGAGAACAAACACTTCGACATCAATGAATATACACCACCAATCTTGCCTGTCAATCTTTTCCTTCATTATTAGGTCAATATCATCATCTAAACCATCTTCAAAATCTTGCATGCTCAGGAACAAAGCTGCTGATTTCAAATGGTGTCATATTGAATGTCCTGTCAGGCTTGGTTAGAGAATGACCATTGTTGAAAGCTCATGTTTAAGAGGAATGTTCTTGTTTTGTTCTTTCCTTCTGCTGTTCTTCCCTTTACTACTACTTTTGCAAGCCTTTACACACTTTAAATCCGTCAGGAGTAAGAAACTTGAACTAACTCAACATTTACCTATTAAATATTTTCAACTAGAAATCTTATGGTGGGAACAATGACAACAAAGCAACACTAAAAAATCAATGTTGTGAAAATGGCTAGGCAGATTTAGGAAAGGAGACTGCCACCTTGCGAATTAGAAAGTCCCCCTACTTCAGAAATTTACCAAACACAGGTATATGACTTACTTCCATATTTGGAAAACAATGTCTTGCTGCATTTCCACAAAAAGCGGGAACGACAATTACGTCTCTGTTTGTTTACAGGAAACTATTTTCTGGAGGAAGGTTTTCTAGTTTTCCCAATTCTAAGTTCTAACACAGTAAAACATTTTCAGGAAAGGTTTTCTTGAAACACATGCTACAATATATTCCAACTTATTTTCACAGAAAATAATTTAAAAACAATATTTTCCACAAGTTCTTTTCTTTGAAATAAATAGAACATAAGTTGATATTACATATGAACTTGAGACAACTTTGTGTACCTTCATCTTCTCTGTTGATAAAGGATAAGAGGTCATCGACCGAAAGTCCATCTGTCTGCTCCTCTTCAACCTCAATGACACTCTGAAAGAATGAAATCAATATCATTAGCTTTAACATGAACACAACACAATAAATACATAAAAGTAGACCAGAATGTAATTCTACATGTACCTTCGATCTTTCTCTCCCTGTTAATTCTTTCCTCTTTCTGGCATATAATCTATTCAAAAGACGAATCCGTGGATCATCCATTGTATTCTTTAAGGGCTCTAATTTTTCTTCCTGGAATACATAACGGAAAACGAATCTCAAGAACACAGAAAAAGAATAAACAATTACACTGTTTATAAGCAACCAACAACCTCTGTAAGATCATTTGGTAGACTGAACGCATTATGTATTTTTTCTGGGCTTTTACCCTCAATCATCCGTGCAAGTGCACGACTCGTGAAGTCAAGTAATGGCTTCAATTGTAGGCTGTCAGCAGCAGATGTCATCTGGCAAAGAAAGTTAAACTATCTAGTATTAGAGAATGTCTCTTAAAAATATGAAGTACTTTTATACTCCCTCTCTCCCTAATAACTTTGCCAAGTTTGACCGGCACAAGGATTAATAAAGTAAAAACTGTGTGGTTGAGGTTTGTGCAGAGGAGAGAGAATTAACTGAAATCACAAATTCTTTACTTAAAAGCGAAAGTGACAAAGTTAATGTGACATCCAAAAAGGAAAGTTGGCAAAGTTATAAGGGACGGAGGGAGTAGTTTTATCCAAATAGTTTTTAGACCCCATTTGTTAACCCTTGTTTTCGGCTTATCACCCAACCTTACAACAAGCTTTTTCACCAAACACGAAACTTTTGATATTGTGCGCAAGATTTGTTAACTATTTTCATATAACTTTTTCACAATTAAAAAGATTCGGCCACTTAAGCCATTTCTATCACAATTTCACCCATTTAAGCATGTTCAACCGATTTTCAATATGCCACATAAATATGTTTTCCTAACTTTTAATTGACGTATGTCCATTTGCTTGGTTGGGAGATTTTGGAAAAGATGAGATGAAAGTGAAAGAGTTGAGTGTGTTTGATGGGGCAATAATCGGGGGGGGGGGGGGGGGGGTGGGGGTTGAAGGAACTTTAAAAACATCCACGCTCCACATATCTACTCCCCCCATTTGGGAGATTTTGGGAGAATTATTTTTTGTGAATTTCTTAAACTTTTTTATTGAAATATTTATACACTATTATTGTGTTACATGTAGAGCAATATATTTTTTATTACAACAAGAACTATGAGAGTGTTTTGGTTTGCTTAAAAAAAGTGCCTTTTAACCAAAAGCTAAAAGTAATGTTTTCATACATGTGCTTCTAAACACATACTCCCTCCGCTCCTAAATAAACTTCACACTTTGACTTCACACAAATTTAGGAAATAAATTTGACTTTACTGTAGAGTACACTGTTGTGACACTGTTTGGCACTATTTTGCATTGTTTTGAGATAGATAATTTGAAAAATAAGGAAGGGAGAAGAAGTGTGAAGTTTATTTTGGACCTACCCAAAAAGAAAAGTGTGAAGATTATTTAGGACCGGAGGGAGTACAAGCTAAAGGTTGAAAGCAAGGGGAGAAGTTCTTTAAACCTCTTTTCACGGTTTCTATTACACAAAAAGCAACGTTTTAGCAAATATGCTGACACTCTTCCTCCTTTAACCACATATTCTCAAACTTGAACCTTCTTGGTTTTCTTCCATGTATAGTCGGGCAAAAGTTCACCCACAAAGCCATTTGATCACTAACCGGAGCCTCAATGGAAGAAGCTTGAGATGCCATGAAATGGTTCCACCAATCATCATTTACCAAAACCGATCAAGTTTTTCCTCCACCCAATGTGCAGTTTCCTTACCTCTATCCCAAGTCCACTGGTATCCTTCAAAAGGAAAATCCCGTAGACCACAACCGATCACTACATCTCTAAAGCCTCTCGTTCTCCGGGTAGGGTGAGGGATCCTACCCTTTTTTCCGAATCATATAAAATATCATTAAAATCACCAATTACCATCCATGTCAGTGAATTGTCCTCTGCCAGTCCTCGTCGCATATCCCACGCTTCCCTCCGGCGTCGTGTTTCAGGAAAGGCGTAATAACAAGTGAGCCGCCTTGCCGGTTCTCCTTCCACCGTTTTAATCAAACAGTCCACGTAGTTTTGCTGAACCACCTTAATGGTCACATCCATATCGTCTTTCCATCCAAGGGCAAGACCCCCGTTGCTGCCTTCATTGGCCGTCCCTACGTATTGTTGATAGCCCTTCATGCACAGAAGATCTTTCGCACGTTGACATCGAATTTTAGTTTCCATGAGGAAAATAACAAAAAATCTGTTTGTACCCACTTTTGTACCCACCCCCCTATCTTGCTTGTGTACACAGGCAATTCTTTAAGAAGAAGGCAACAATTGTCTCCCAAATGTCTGTGTACACAGACAAAATAGGGGGTGAGTACAAATGTGTGTACAAAAGTGGGTACAACAAGAAGGACTCGGAAAAGAATCGACGAACGATATCCTTGCACTTAATCTGCCACGCTTGCACGGTGGCCAAGTTTCCTAAACCTCTACAGTTCCAATTGATTATGCTCGTGTTGAGAAAAAACCGGACATCGTGATCAGGGAGGTCACCGCCGGAGAAGGACCTAGGCTAAACCTAGAGACGACCACTTTTTAGTGTCTTAGTAATTAATTAATTAAAAATGCTTTTTCATTGAAAAGTATAGACTGCAAACATGTTTAATAATTAGTTCAAAAATAAGATGTAACACCGCCCCCGAGTATTTGTACTGTACCAAATTATGTATTGCACCTTGAGAAATGTATAAAAGCATTTTTACGTGATTGTAAATTTTTATCATTTCTATTACGTGAATAGTAAAATTCACGTGGGGCCCACACCGGATGTGGGGCCGCCCGATATTATCGGGACCACATATTATATTAATCTTGGACTAGATAATATGCATATGGTGGTGGATACCCAAATTGGGCCATGACGATGGCACAAGGTTGACCGGTTGGTCAAACGGGCCAAATTATCGGTATCGGGAAATTTATCAGATAACAGCCCAAAAAGGGGGTTTCGGAGACTTCTAAATTAAAGTTGGGGAATTCATATTGATTCTAAGGTCCAATAAGGATTGGGAACAAGTGTTATATTTTATTTGACCCAATAAAATAAAATATAATTAAAACAGTCCGGAAAATACAACTTTCGGGACCGATTCTACACTTAGGGACATAAAGGGATGACCTCCCACATGAGTGGGGGCCACCCCACGGATTTAGTGCTGCAGATGTCAAGGGAGCCGCACAAAGAGAAGGGGGAGGGGAAAGAGAAGGGGTTGAGGGGAAAGGCATTAAATGGAGTAGGGCCTCCCACATGCCATGATTGTGAGAAATGCCAAGAAGGCATTCTCAATCATACCAACCCACCCCATTTCGTATCAGGCATCAACCAAGTGACAGGAGCTCTGCAAATAAACCATTTTCATCCATCATACACGCACCAAGTTGAGGGAGGAAGAAGAAAGGGAAGAGAGAAGAGAAAAGAGGAGTTTAGGTGGGAAAACTTGTGTTTAACAAGGTAATGACTCCATTACTCCTATTTCTTGTTCTTCAATCCTCTTATATGATTATTCAATCATATTTCACCCCTAGTATTGTTCTACACGTTGGGATGTGTAGAAAGAGGGGTTGGAAGGTGGTTCTAAGTCCAAGAACGGACTTAGAAGCCAAAGGACCGGTTCGCCGGAAAATAACCTTTTGAAGGTTATTTATATTACTATGGGTTTTATGATGATAAAACCTTGTTAGTTACTTGTCTAAGGTATTCAAGGAACTTTCAAGGAGTTGAAAAGGTCGCCGGAGTTGTCGCCGGAGTTCGTTGAAGTTCGCCGGAGTTTCGTCGGAGCTAAATCGGGAAGGCTAGAACTTCATAAGCTTCATTAAGGTGAGAAGACGGCTTTATGCTTTATAACTTTTGCGTGAGGCATGAGATTACCTAAAGTAATCAGGAATATGTTTTGTGGAATGATTAAAGATAACCAAGTGTGTGTTTATGCCATGATTATACATAAAACATAATTGAAAGCCAAGACAAAGGTGATACCCGACCGGGCATGAGTGAATACCCGACCGGGTTTTGATTAAAAATGGCTCCAGAGGCCACTGCCACACTAGACCCGACCGGGTCTCAAGTAAAGTTGGCTCCAGGGGCTACTGCCTCACCCCACCCGACCGGGTAAGGTGGGATACCCGACCGGGTCTTGGGTTAAGTTCAGAATGGGCAGTTTTGAGTAGGTTAACATGGGCCGTTCGGGGCTTCTACACAGGCTTACTCGCCAAATTTCACGGAAAAAGCGCGAAGGTCGAAAAAAGAGAGGAAAACCAAAACTCTTTTTTCACACGTATGTAGATAAAATCCTTATTTTGGAGAGTTTTGTTTTCCTCAAATTGCTGAAGACTGAAGCGGCGGTGAACTTTGTTCGAAGGTTGGCTATTTAGGTATGTCAACTTTTATTATCCTCTATGTTATGGAAGAAAGAAGTGGATTCCAAGTATTTGGAGTAGTAAAGTTTTTACGTGATTTGATTCGTCGTTCCCCGTTGAGTATTTCATATTCAATTTAATACGAGAGGGTAGAATACAACAAATGCAAGAATTAATCAAAAATTATGAAGCTTGGGCTTATTAAATCAGATAAAAGAAATATCACAATTGACGGTGGAATAAACAAGGCTAATGCATATTTGTGAATTTTTGGAATCATTTAGGTTGCTGGATTTGTTTGGGTTGCTGAAGTTAGGGTTAATAGTTACCAATGATTCTTCATAGCTAAAACATACGAAGTATAATTTTTTTTTACCAAAGGAGTTTAATTTTTTGAACAAAGGGGTTGCTCTTTGTCTTATTCATGCAGACATGTCATTTCTTTTGACCAAAGGTGTTTAATTTTTTATGTTTTTTATGTATGTATTAGCTAGAACAAATAAGTGTGCCTTATACACCGTAATATCTTTAAACATCTCTGCCTAGGGTGCCTCTTCAATGGATTTGCCTCTACCATCACCTGCTTGACCAATACAGTATATTTAGAACCCATTTCAAGTTGTGTTTTCCCTTAAAGAAACTCCCCTTTTTTCCCTTATAGGTCTCATGTTTATAGCAAAAAACAAATAGATATAATGTCTTAATAAATAACATACCTTTGAAACTCCAAACAAAACAGTCATCCTTTATAGATAAAATGTCTGCTGGTACTAAAATCAGTTCTAAAAATTGGCTTGTGATGGAATTGTTTTTGCCTCTGTTTAATATTGACCTGTTTTTCACATTATCGTTCTTACTTTATGGTGCCACATAATATGACTATATGTGCCTCTAGAATAGGATAGCAAGACCTTTGATAAATATAACTACTTAGTCTTTCTCTTACTAGTTATATCAGATTTAATTAATTAGAATGCTTGTCTGAGATATACAACTACTTAGTTGGCAGAACTAATATAATTATCCAGAAAACCTTTTTTCCTCTCTTAAAGTTCCATCTATATGTCTATCTGCTTTTTGTAAATTATTTGTCATTCCTTGATATCTATTAAATTGAACATTTGAGTCTAAATGTTGCACTAGGTGGATGGAACATACAAGACAACAAAGCATGGATCATGAGTTTGACCCATTCCCAAGCTCCCAAAATCCCACCCTTGTTAACTACACAAGTCAAGCACCAAACCAGTTTAGTTCAATCAGCTCCCGGTTCCAGTCCGCATATCAGTTTAACCCAATGAATGGTTCTTGTTCTCCTTATACTAACTTACCTTATGGACCTCCCTTCTCATTCCAAAATCATTTGAGCACTCCTATTTTTGGTAGTGGAACCAGTGAAACTCCTAGGGCATCCGGAGGCGGGAGAAAGAAACATAAAGATGTCAGCAGTTCTCAATGTTCAACTAAAAAGAGAGATCGGAGTTCAGAAGAAGATATCGCATTAACCAACGCGTGGTTACATATTTCTATGGATGCGGATGTTGGTAATAATCACAAAAGTGCAGCAATGTGGGAGAGGATTTTACAAGTCTGGAAGGACAACATGGGGGAGAGTTGCAGTAAGCCTAGAAATAATAATAGCCTACAATGCTGTTGGCAAAAAATACAGAAGGCAGTTAACAAATTCCATGGGATTTACGAGAAACTTAAAAGGCATCTCCAAAGTGGCTCAAACACAGATGACATAGTAAGTATTACTTTCATATCTTAATATTCACTAATATATACCAAATCACAAGTACTGATTAAGGGTGATTTATGTGCTTCTTTTCATTTCAGAAAAAAAGGCGTCGGGAATGCACGAGAGACTCTTCAGTGATAAAAAGAAAAAAGAATTCAAGTATATTCATTGGTGGGAGCGTATGATAAAGAACCCGAAGTGGTGTACAAGCCAACTGACAAAGGCTTCTGGATTAGATAAAAACACTTCAGATAACAAAACCCCAGCAGAAGTATGTGAAACCTCACCAATTCCATAAAAGCATGGACTGGAACCTGAGCAAGTCAAAAGTGATGGAATTGTACGTCCTTTGGGAAGAAAAAGTTGCAAATATAGAAAAAGAACGCTGAATTATGAAAACGAAGTGATTGAAGCACTGAATAAATTACAATGTTCGTTAGACAAGCAAATAGAATTTAATAAGGTGGAGCTGGAGATGAAGAAGGAAAACCAAATGAAAGAGTATACATTTAAGGAGGAACTTATGAAAAAAGAGATAGAGCTAAAAGAGCACAACTGCAAACTGAAGGAAGAAGCACAATTAATGAAAAAGGAGGAGCAGAAAATGAAGAAGAGAGAGCAAGAAATGTGGCAGAGAAGAGCTGATCAAGACCCGTTATGAGCGTAGAATTGAGTAGGCTGCCACCAAGTGCACGAGCCACATATGAAATCTTGCAACTTCAAATACTGAAGGAATGAGAAATTGGAAGCGTCTCTGGAATCTAAATATATTTACTATTTACCAGATTTATGTTTCTACTTAAGACACATTTTTAGCTATATTTTCGAATTATGCACCCCAAAATCTGTAGGGTTATTTGCTTTATTTGTTGCTTCAAATGAATACATTTGTCATTTGTTTCATGGTTGATTTCTCTTATAAAGAAGAATTGGCCAACTTTTGATATTAATGGGGCAAAGTTTTTTATTGTTGCTAACATTCTAGTAGATTTGGTGATCAACCAGGTGCCACTTTTAAAGATTGCTAAGAATTGCCATATGGCCAGTATTGTTTTGCTAAAAATGATATATTTCTTTTACAATAGGTGAGTGGTTTTCAACATATGAAAGGGACGGGGGAGGGGAGTAGTTTGCTTTAGGATATCAACAACTAAAAATCTGGAAACCAAATGGAATTAAACAACTGAATGATCGGAGGAGATTATTTCTAAAATAAAAAAACCCAAATATTAATTCACTAAACAGTAATAATGTTCACAAAATGAAAAAATAGAACTGCATATCCAATCACTAATAACATATCCAATCACTACTATATAGCAAACAAAAGTATTAGCCATCATAAGTTTGACCACCATACACATCCCACAAGTGATTGATGAGATCGTTCTTCAAATCCACATGCAGCCACTTATCTTGTATATGTTTGGTTCTGTTGATCATCATTGACATAATTAAGGTGAAATCACGCTCTAGAGTAACACCATCACCATGTTCTTCTCCTTCAGCTTGCCAATCTCCAGGATCAATGTCTTGACTACGCTCACACTCAAATCCACATGATGCATGTCTTCATTGTCTTTCCCAAGTCTTTAGCATTCCAAAGTCGAGCAGGGCCTTTAATGATATGCCATCGACTTTGTAGCACACCAAATGCTCGTTCTACATCCTTTCTCACAGCTTCTTCTTGTTTTGCAAATAGTTTTTCTTTGACTGATGAAGGTTGGGATATTGTTTGGATTAGAGTCACATATTGTGGGTATATTCCATCAGTTAAATAATAACCCATATCATATTCATTACCTTGCACTATAAACTTACACGGTGGAGCAACACCATTAATGATATCATCGAATAAAGGAGACCTGTCTAAAACAGTAACATCATTATTACTACCTGCCATTCCAAAGAAAGCATGCCAGATCCACAATCTCTTTGAAGCTACAATCTGTAAAATTAGAGTTGGAACTCTTTTAAAACCATTAGTATGAGTTCCATGCCAAGTATTATGACCATTTTTCCATTGCCAATGCATACAATCCAAGCTACCAAGCGTACCTGAAAACCCACGGGCTTCACCTTCTTTTAAGAGCATTGCAATATCATCTTTATTTGGTTTTCTCAAATATTGTTCTTCATATATTCCTATAATAGCATCATAGAAACATGTTAGGCTTTCAACTGGCGTACTCTCTCCAATTTGAACATATTCATCAAGAAGATCAGATGTACAACCATATGCAAGCATGCGTATTAATGCTACCACCTTTTGTAATGGGCTCAACCCAATATGACCAACAACATATATCTTTTGTTGAAAATACCCATCATACTTTTCAACATCATCCAAAAATCGGCTAAACAATTCTATATCCATTCTAAATCTACGATGAAAAAGCACCGGACCGTACTTTGAAGTAGTCATTGACTATTACATCATGACACTCTTTCCTATCACGACGAATATAACATCGACCAGTCATTGAGCGATTGAGAGTGAATTCGGTAGCAATCAACATACTAGAAACATTCAAGGAAAAATATGAAATCTTTTCGGCATTAAAATCTGAATGATCTTGTGATGTCTCATATAACACTTGTTTGGTTAGTGACAATTCATTCTCACTTGAAGATGAGCTATTGGAGTCTGTGTCAAAGCTTGGTGAATCTATATCCATCACTTGAAATCTCCTAAAAACATAATTTATAAACGAGAACAAAATTCAGCAAAATATACTAACTACACAACGAAGTAAACTTTTATTAATATACATACTTTCAAATTTCAAGTATTCATGTATCAAATACTATATCATTACATCTATATAGGAGATAAAACAATTACGTTAATAATTCCAGAACATGATCTAATGCTTTAAGGTTTTACTTAACCTACAAATAATTTATAAATGACATAAATAAATACTAAATAGCAGCAATGAAGCCATTACAAAATAGAAGCAATCAGCACTGACGTGCATGCCTCTCCTTTTGGTAGAAATCCATTCAACGATATTTCAAACTTTCACAACCTCTAGAAAATATAGCAACAACAAGCCAACAAGTAATGATTATTTTCTCCCTTTAATTTTTTTTTGCCGTCATCTTTAATAAGATGATATTGTTAAGAGTTTGGTTGGAATGACACACACATGATAAATATAAGAATTACCGAAAGTAGAAGAACCAAAGAAGCAATAGAAAAAGCAAGATGAAATCGGACCTTCTATGGCTATAGAGAAGGCAAGCGTATAGAATGAGTACGTGAAACCTAGTTTTTGTAGTGGAGCTGTTAAAACAGAAAGTCGATTTACTTTTATTTTAGTATATACTAGTAATATATTACACATGTACAATTTCCTTGGACCTAAAACTTGATGCATTGGAAACTAATTTTGGATCTCAATGTCTAGTAATTGCACATCGTGTGATGCCAATTAGAAAGCCTATTACTTATTTAACAATTGGCATATTTTATTTGGACTAAACATGAGTGCATTGGGGATGCTCTAAATAAGTGATTTTTTATGTAAAATTATAAAGCAAAAGTGCAAAACTATAGTAAAACCTTTTTTTTCATCCTCACGGCTCTCAGCCCCTCCCTTGGGCTTTCAGGCTGACTGACTTTTCGGTAAAAAGGGGATTTTAGAAAGCCTCGCCGTTTCCGCCTTAAATTAAAATTAAACAAATCAAACTTAAAATATGCTTAAACGTCTCTTTCCGTTTTCTTTATCTTCCACTGTAGAGTAAAAAAAGTGAAATAATTTCCCCAGCGCATCCGAAGAGATCACTCTACGTGTCAGACTATCATCCATTATCGACGCCACTGTGGAAGAATATACGGTATAATTTTCTGGTTATCCACTTCGATAGACGGCGATTTTTAGAGGGAGATTATAAAGCCGGATAATGGCGTGAGAACTTCAGCCTTGATTTTACCAGTACTTAAACGCAGTACAGAGTCTTCACCAGCTCCGTGTAGCCAGCGGCAATGGCAAGTGGCTTCGTTATTTCCCACCGGAACTTCGGCCCTTTCATTGGCCCAGGTATAAGCATGCGTCTGGCGTGCATGATTTTCCGTCTTTTGGCCACTGAATTTCGAAGAACTAAGTTTTACCTTTCGTGGTATGGATTTTTGTACTAATATTAAAACAAGTTTTTGGCGATTTGAGCTAGCCGTTATTGCCTAAGGATTAACTGTTCATTTTCCAATCTCGCGGGAGATGCAGTCCGCTTTTTATGGTGTACTATTCCAATGCATAGTCTATTTGTCTTAGAATTTCGCTGAACTACGGCTGAAAAGTAAGGTTGAATCATTGAATGCTTGGTGCGGATTTATTAGTATTGATTAAAAAACATTAACTCAAAATTTGGGCAATTGGGATGTGGAATTTGTTACTAGACGAGTATTTTTACAAAAATGCAATTCCTGTGTATCTGTGTTTAGATATGCATCGTTAATGTAAATTCCACTAACAGGCATAGTTAGTCAGGCAGAGAGGTCTACAGTTATTCACGGAGGAAAGAGGTCGGGCTTTACTTCTATGCAGCATGTTGTGCACAAGGCCATTGTAGTGGATAAGATTTGCCTTCCAAGGAAAAAGTACTCATCCGTTGGCTGTATGTATCTCTGTGATGCTTCAAATGGTAAACTCTGTAAATCAAAACCACCTTTTCAAGTTGACGCCTGCCAGCCTAGTCAATCAAGTATAGTGCACCCTGCGATAGATCATAGACCAGAACTTAGAAGAAGTACACACTGTAAAGAGGTTAGTTCACTTGGCAGCAGTTGCGTCCCTCCAAGGAAGCTGGAAAGTCTTGGTTTCTTTGTCAACCAAAGGCAGGAGATAAAGCATTCAGCTCAAAATCAGGCACATGCTGACTTTAAATGTGATGAGTATGACATAGCAGGGGCATTAGAACCTTTAGTGTCTCCAGAGAGCAGCGATGTTGTTCTGACAGAAGTAGCAACACCTTCGTGGGAGCAGTTCCCAAAAAGATGGGTGATAGTACTTCTTTGTTTTGCTGCTTTTCTGTTATGCAACATGGACCGTGTAAGTGTTTCTCTTGTCTAGTGGTTTAAAATCTTGGTTTCTTAGGATTCTTTTTTTCAGCTTTTCCTTTTTAAAGTGACTCTCATTTCACATCATCAAAGTTAATGTTTGCCTTTTATCTTGAACTATGGTATTATTGACTTATTGTAACTTCTTTTATTGCAATAATCCCATAAAATTATCAAATATCTTAAGCAGTTGTTGAGTTTTATTTTGGAAAAGCCTTCGTAATATGATTCTTAATTCTGTATGGCCTTTTTGTAATGCAATCATGATTCATTGAATTGATTTTAGGTCAATATGAGCATTGCAATTCTTCCCATGTCAAAGGAATACAATTGGAACAGTGCTACTGTGGGCCTCATTCAATCTTCTTTCTTCTGGGGATATCTGCTCACACAGGTCTCATCGAATTCTGGATATATGTGTGCTTGTATGTAGTCACTGAGTGTAGCTGTTACCTGCTCAAAACAACTTTTGATGATTTGAGCTAGTTGCTATTTACCTATTGTTCAAGGCCTCATTTAGTCACAGAGTCTGCTAATTATTTTTTATTGTTACAACACTAAAATATCTTAGTTTTATTGTGAACTATGGAGTATTATGTATGGTATCCTTCAGAATATCTTGTGAAGTCACTATACTTAAATTTCATTTATCTAATTATGTTGCTTAGATTGCTGGAGGGATTTGGGCAGATAAACTTGGTGGGAAACTTGTATTGGGGTTTGGAGTAATCTGGTGGTCTATTGCAACTGTTTTAACACCCATTGCTGCTAAGGTTGGGCTTCCATTCTTGCTCGTCATGCGTGCCTTCATGGGTATCGGAGAGGTCTGCCGCATAAAATATCCTGCTCTCTCTCTCTCTCTCTCATAAAACTCTCCTATAACCTAGCCTCATAAACTCTTGTTCTTAAGAAAGGGTAATGTCATGTCCAGGGTGTTGCTATGCCTGCTATGAATAATTTACTGTCAAACTGGATTCCGGTCTCTGAAAGAAGCAGATCTTTAGCACTGGTATATAGTGGTATGTATCTCGGTTCTGTCACAGGCTTAGCCATATCTCCTGCTTTGATTCAGAGTTTTGGATGGCCATCAGTATTTTATTCCTTTGGTTCCCTTGGGAGCATCTGGTTTGCATTTTGGTTGAGAAAAGTGAGTTTTCTCCTCTTGTTCTTTGATGTACAGTAGTACTTTATTAATTTGTCCATATGTTCCATGATTACTTGTTGTTCCTGACTTCCTGCAATCTCAATCATCTAATGGACATGACAATATCTAGTATCTCAACTCATTGCCGGTCTCATGATATTCTCCAATTATGTGAGAATAACCTACGATTACGGTTTAGAGTTTTCATCTCACCAATTCTTCTCTGGAAAGGCATCCGGTGTAAAACATTACCCCTAGGTTTCTTTGCAGGAAGATATAGTGTTAATTAGTTCTATACAATTATTTGGCATTGTAAATTTAATGCTACTCACTCAACTAGTTGGAGTTGAGGTGATGATGATGGCTATGCATAGGTATGACACATATGATAACTGCAGTGGCATTTTATGTCAGTGTTAGAGCTCAGTTTAAACAACAAAATGTCTTATATTGTACTCTGTATAAATATCTATTTAGATAGTGTGTGTTTCACTATTTTGCCTCCTTTAGGCATACAGTTCTCCTAAGGAGGACCCAGGGCTTAGTATGGCTGAGAAGAAATTAATCATGGGAGGAAGTATTTCAAAAGAACCGGTCACCAACATTCCATGGAGGCTAATCTTGTCAAAGGCGCCTGTATGGGCTCTTATTATCTCCCATTTTTGCCATAACTGGGGCACATTTATTCTTCTGACATGGATGCCTACATACTATAACCAGGTTTTACGTTTTCATCTTTATACTCTTCATTGGTGGAGGGCATGATTTACATTTCTACATATATGCTTAGAAAAAGGAATAGTGAAGTACTAATATCAAATCTTTATAGTGTTGTTAAGAAGATAATATATGAGGCATTGATGTGTGCGAAGGAACTTACCACCGACACAGAGGAATTCGAGTAGCCTGGGTTCGAATTAATTAGGATTCTTTGTTCTTCATGGTTGGATTAGTATTTTTAATTATAATTGAATTAGATAAAGATTATTAGATTCTGTATTAGTTCATGTCATAGTTGTTGTATTTAGTTCAAAGCTTAAATGATAAATCACATAAAGATTTGATAAAGTCAAGCGTCTGAGTTTATGTCAAGAATGAGGCCCCATATCTTTTCTAGCGCCTATAATGCTTAGAGTTCATCATGCCCAAAAGTTCCCAGTAAATTAGAGTACTAGCCTCAGTCTTAGTCTCTCTCATTTATGAGTGTGACATGGTGATTGACTAACAATCTGATTCCTTTGCCAAAAAAAAAAAAGAGCACTAGCTTCAGTTTCTGATCAACTATGGGTGTTTATTTAGGTGCTGAAGTTCAACCTCACTGAATCGGGACTATTTTGCGTGTTACCGTGGCTTACGATGGCAGTCTGTGCAAATATAGGCGGTTGGATTGCAGACACTCTTGTGAGCAAAGGATTCTCTATAACATCAGTTCGCAAGGCAAGGACTGTGTGTCATTCTGACATGTATCTATATAAACAAGCTAGTAACCAGCCTTCTCATACCAATATTTCTATTTTGTAAAATCTGAAGTCCTCTCAAATTGCAGATAATGCAATCTATTGGCTTTCTAGGACCTGCTTTCTTCCTTACCCAACTTAAACATGTGAAGACTCCTGCTTTGGCAGTGTTGTGCATGGCATGCAGTCAGGTTTGTGCTAGCTAAAGATGTTGCTTGGCTAGATTTTTGTATTTTTCTTAGCTTTAACTGTTCTTCGGATCTTCTCTAGGGATCAGATGCATTCTCTCAGTCCGGTCTCTACTCCAATCATCAGGACATTGGACCCCGTTATTCAGTAAGTTATTTCAAATGCATGCTGACCAGTGTCTTTTGTTATATTTTTTCCCTTTTATCATCTGTGGTTTCTGGGAACATAACTCTATAACAGTGCTACAGTTCCAAAAAATAATCTGAATCTGATATCAAGGGTGAGAAATGGATATGTTGATTAATTACTCTTCAGCTCTTCTGATTATTATGGATGGGTTCAAAGCAGTCCATTTATGGTCTTTTTAGAATTTACTTAAAATTCCAAACCGTCCATGGTCTCTTCAATAAAATCTTTTTCACGAAGGAATATTCAGTCCATCAATTTTAGTATCGTTTTCATTTGCAAAGATGATGGGACAATGCAATTATAATAATGATGATACTTTAGCATATGTAATAATCAAATGAATAACAAATCATTATTCATTGATAAATGCACAAAATTCAATGCAAACTTTTTTTAACGATGTGACTCTTAATGTACTTATGCAGGGAGTTCTATTGGGACTATCTAATACAGCAGGGGTTCTAGCCGGTGTTCTTGGAACAGCAGCTACCGGATACATACTACAAAATGGTAAAATTAAAAGCAGCTTTTATTGTCTTTTTGCAAAAGATTTTTTTCTGTCATGGATAAAGGTGTGAAGTGTGATTTTTGTCTAACAATTGTGCAACTCTAACAATTCTAGCACCTCATTGCCAACTTTTTGCAAAAAATTCCCTGATTGTACCTCTCAGTGGTGGTTTTAATCCCAACCAGCTATGTTATCTGAGATGGATTAAAATCACCACCATTGGATACAACGAGGGGGTGTATTTTTGTGCCTGCACGGGTTGCTCAACTGGTCCTCAGTGGGCAGGTTGTTAAGTCCACAGTAGCGGCAGTGTGAGAGTTACACTTAGCGTGATGGCTACTTGTGCATACTGAGCCGCCCTTCTGTGGAATTGCGTAAGATTATACTGTATTTTACATTTTTACCGCTCACCCATTGTTGGACCATGGTGGGCCATTACACCTTCTGAGTCCAAGAGTAAAGTAATACGGAGTAATATAACTAGTAGAGTTCTTCTTCTTCATTACCCCAGTGTCGCAAAGGCTCTCACCTACGGTGGGGTAAGAGGGAGCGTCGGATTTATGCAGCCTTACCCTTGTACGTTTCGTACAGAGAGACGGTTTCCGGATGACCCATAGTGAAAACCCCGTCGAAAATTGCACAAACTGACTGCTGCTTCATAACAAAGAAGCGCAAACAGTTTAGTGAGACATTTTGCTTTATTCTATCGTATGCCCAAGCCAAAAAATAGTCAGTGTTTGGCTCCATTGCAAATGATGGACAAATATAACTACTCCGCATTAGAGTAAGAGAGCAAATTACCCTGGATAAAAATGATGGTAAAATTTCAGTTGACATGATGATGATGGTTGCATGTGGTGGCAGGATCATGGGATGATGTGTTCAAAGTTGCAGTTGCTCTGTACATCATAGGCACATTAGTGTGGAACATCTTTTCAACAGGAGAGAAAATTCTTGATTGAGAGTTGTACGAAATTAAACATCTCTCTCATCATCCTATCTTTACTGAGAAAAACCCAACCCCATGAAAAAGATGCAAACCAAGTGTTCCAAGAGTGAACCTAAAACACGGTGCAAGTGACAAACTGAAGTGCTGTGCTTCTTGCAACCTGACAGCTGTCTTCCAACAATTTAAGGAAACCTCCTGGGTTGGAGTTATTGGAATGCCTGAAAATGGACTTTTGTTTTTTCATTTTTTAAGCCAAGAACTTGGGTACATGGGAGATTGCTCATGTCCTCCCATGATCAGTTAAAATCTTTCTATTCATCTGTAAAATTACTAGTTTAAAAGTCTATATGAACCAGCCATGTTTACTGTATTTTGCTTGCCTTCACCATTTGTTGATCTGTTTTGGCTCAATTTTAGATTCGCATTTTGTTTGCAAGACTATAATCTTGTTCCTATCCATCAATCAAAGATTGTAAGGGAGTTCCTCGGTTCTACCACACTTGAGTTTCAAATGAATATCAAAATTAAAAGTTTTTTTGTGCGTTAAATTATGCTATTGTAGTGAGAAATATACATTTTGGAGGAATTTTGCTGCATTGAGTGAAAAAAGTAAATAACGCCATTACCTTCTTTTAAATATGCTCTGCAGTATTTCCCTTAATTCATTGCGACGATATTTGTGTATTTTGATTTGTTTATCTTGATAAATACGGAGTATGTAAGTTATTTGAGTTGCAATACGTAGTCATCAAAATGTTTTAGTTGGGTCTAGTATGATAAATGTCTCGTCTCTGCGTATTTTACAACAATCAAAGTTTGATATGATTTGATCTAAACTGGTTTGAAACAGAAGCAAGCCCATGCAAAAACATCTTAAATACGAAGCATGACTCAAAATGGTGCTTCTTATTAACATATCAAAGTAAAACTAAGACAGGCCAACATATATATGAAAGAAAAAAGAATCAAATTAAGAAAAGAGCTACACAGAATATTGATGGGTATAGTAATTTTTTGTAATAACAAAAAAATGAAATAAGAAAGAAAGAATAGAAGAGTAAATAAATACACACAAGAAAGTCAAGAATTTGTCCAACTCCATACACCCTGTCTGCAATGAATGTGATGTACCTATCTTGAGACCAATGTCTTGAGCTGCCATCCATTAGACACATCTTAGGCCAAAACAACATTAATCATCATCCATGTGAAAAAACCTCCCAAAATGGCTCACAGCACTTATGGAAGCTCACACTAGCACCAGCTACCCTTCTACCATCTCCAATCCTTAATTAACTCATCATCCCAACAACCACACCAACCTCAATTACTACACCATAATCAGGGGAGATTTTCGGTTCGGGCTTTGTCGGGTACCCGTCCATCCACCCGCCCAGTCCAAATTTCTCTTTTACATGAAGTATGTAATATTTTAAGTTTTTGGTAAAAAAAGTATTTTTATGCACTACTTTCTTGATGACCCACAACCTTAATCCCGGCTAAAATGGGGCTTAAGTCTCTGGGATGGATATCTACTTTTAGCCCATATTTCATGAACAGTGTTAACGACATTTTCTGCTCCACTTTGTGGCCCGGCGACAGGGTCAACCGGTGCCGGAGCAACACGGCGGCGGCGATTGACTTCATTTGCAAATAAGCCAAGTCCTTCCCAAGACACACCCTCGGACCGGCGTTGAACGACACGAACCGGTACTGGTCGTGCGTCACGAACGTCTTTCCGTCGGCGGACAGCCACCTCTCTGGCTTAAACTCAAGACAGTCCCCTCCCCACGTCGACTCCATCCTTCCGGCAGAGTATATGGAGTACGTTATTGATGACCCCGCCGGAACGAATGTCCCGTCTGGAAGCACGTCGTCGACGACTGCTTGCTTCGAGTCCTCCGGGACCGACGGGTACAACCGGAGGGTTTCCGACAAGGCGGCTTTCAGGTAGACCAGCCGGTCAACTTCCTCGAACTGCAGCGGCTCGTCCAGCCATGCTGCCGTGTCGGATCCACGTGTCTCGAGCAGGACGGAGCAGACCTCATGGAGGATTTTCTCCTCCACCTTTGGGTTCTGCATGATGAGGGAGAAGAACCAGCAAAGGGCGACGGATGACGTGTCACGTCCAGCTAGGATGAAGTTGAGTGCCACGTGTTGCAGGGTTTTGTCCCCGTAGGATTCCTTTTTCTTCATGAACCTGGAGAGAAGGTCGTCGTGGAGCTGGTCTTTCTGTTGAGCCGTCAGCTCGAGCCGGCGCGCCGAGATGATGCGGGACATGTACTGATCGAGCTGCTCGAGGCTGCGGCTCAAGCTGACTTCCATTCCGAGCCGAAGCCATTTCTTGACCTTCCAGATCACCTCAGGCAGAATGAAGCGCTGAAGGGAGGCTTCGGTGGCTCGGTCGAAAGCCAGCGCGAAGGCGTTTTCCGGCAGCCCTTCAGCCAGCGTCTCCGGGTCCTTCCCGAAAGCCAAGCCGCATATGTTGTCGAATGTGAGCCGTAGCAAAAGATCTTGCAAATCTACGGATTTTCCTGTTTGAAATAGTGTACAAATATTAGTAATGATTAACCAAAACTTGTCATACCATTAATTTGGTATTGTGTTACTAAATTAACATGATTAAAATCATATACTCCGTAATAGAGAAATAAACAGAATGACATAAACTATTTACTAATGTCAAAGTTACCAAAATTAAAGAAGAATGAAACCATGCTAAATATTTTGTAGGAATTTTATCAATTCAGGACCCGAAAGATAGATTAATTATCAATTCAAGATCCGAATGATGAAACGTATCGGTATAGGACACGAATGATGGAAAACTATCAATTTAGGACTTAACGTTTCATAGGTTTTGATTTATTTAATTTTTTATTAATTTCATTACTAATTTTTAGTAAACTTTTCTTCACAAAAGTTTAATAGTTTAATAAAACGAAATAATATTTAAAATTTTTTAATAAAAAAAATTATGACAACTTAGGTCCTAGATTAATAGTTTTCAATCATTCAGGTCCTAAATGGATAGTTTTTCATCATTCGGGTCCTATATTGATGCATTTTATCTATCGAGTCCCTAAGTGATAATTAATCTATCTTTCGGGTCCTGAATTGATAAAATCCAACAAATAATTCTAAATACATAATCAAAATAAAAGTATTAGACAAAAATATGACTCTAGTTACTTTAGTGACTATAATTATATTCAAGTGTTACATCATAGTGATGATAAACTTACTTATACTAATTTATAGTCACATTTTTGTCTAACATTTTTTTATTAGCAATATTTTATAAAAATTCTCTTTCTAAAAATGTAATTGGATGCTATCATGAAAATTTATTATGGACCAAGTGTAATTTGTAATACGTAGTAACTATTTGGATACATAAACGATCAAACATGAGTGAAAGTGTGAAAGATAACATAAATTTTTCTTGATTAATCATGATAAATTTTGTTACAATGATTTTAATTATAGTTGAACACAACTAATAAATTTTATACTTGAAAATATTATGAATAAAGAATATTTTAATATAATTTTCATATTCAAAACAATTTGACATGTATAATCTAATACGTATTATCACATTAAATGATTTCACGTTAAAAATCAAATTGACGAAACTTTTCGGAAGGAAATGAGTATAATAATACTCGGTAGAAGTAAAAGGTGAGAAAAGTCTTGGCATCCCAATAAATGTAAGCAGATCATAATAGAAAACACAAATAAGTCTAGTAAGTTTTGGACTTATTCTGTAATTCTAAGTTCTTGATTAAAATCCTCGTACATTTTCAAAACAAGAACAAAGAATCGTCTTCACTCACTTTCTACCTCGCCGCCAATACAGCTTTGGTAGCTACGATGCCACAACTTATAAGGCCAATTCGGGCCCTCCCAATTTAAGGCATTAAATAACTTTTTTCTAATATAAATTTTCGGTACACATTTTTTGTTTAAATGCATTATGTTCCGATCCTACACCTATCAAAAGATTTGAAGATCTCTAAAGAAAAAATGGAAAATAATAATCCAAACTTTTTAATGTTCTTCTTATAATAGTTTCATCTTTTTTTATTCATGAATAATCCAACTTTTGCGTCACATCTTCATTTGTTGGTTCCTAACTGGTTGATGACCTGTTATTCTAAATTATTTTCTCATCTTTGTAAAATATTATAGTATAAATCTTACCTTATGATCACATAATATTTTGAAAAGAAAAAAATAACTTGGAATTGTAGGTCATCAACCGATCAGGGACAATCGAATAAAGATAGGGTACAAAGGTTGGATATGATTATTCTTGAATAAGAAAAAGTTGAAATTATTGTAATAAGACCGCTAAAAGGTTGGATTATTAATTTCCATTTTCCTTAAAACTAAGGCACCACATTTTTTACCTCTAACATTTCCCATCAAATTGGCGGATTGATATGGATAGTGAGCTAATGTGACAATTTAAACCGTCAATTAAATCACATCCATTATAAAAAAGCGAAAATGGTATAGGTACTGAAAAAACTTTTTAAACTCGATCACTGAAGTAATTACCTAGGTAAAATCACAAGAAGACCTATGATGGATATATAAGAAATTACCCTAATCTTATTAACCTGGAATAACAGTTAAAATTCAAGATAAATATATAGATATTATGAAATGGGTATAACAGAAAAAGATGATTATAAATGTGATTTCTATCTTTGAGGTAAGCAAAACAACAATTTTCAATATATGTGATTTATAATGGCATTTCATATTATTTGGCAATAATTTTCGAAGGAATTGTTGATTTAGTCTCCACTTGTCTCTTATTAGTCATATAACTCAAACGACTCATAGATCAAATTATTTGACTAATAGATTTATTCATTTATTTTAATCATTTAATCATAATTACCAATTTCATGTGAAAATATCATTGACAATGAGATATTTTTTTGCTTAAAACAACATATTCCTATAGAAAAATCCTAAATCTAGATAAAGCATTTGTCACATGATATGGTGTGATCTAAAAATAAATAAAACTATATGACTAATAATAATGTAGATAAATTCTAAATGTATGCAATATTATTAGTTAATTACATGACATTAATCTATAATTAATTAAAATCCCACAATTAATAAATGATGAAGTAAATCTAAAACTTTCCTTAGCTATTGTTGATAAATAGTGATGATGTAAATCATGTAATCACATTAATTAATACCCATAAAACATAATTTAATAATCGTAATAATACAGGGAAAAACCTCAAATATTATTACCTTCTTGTTGAGCAGTTTGCAGTATGGGACAAAACCTCAACTTAATGGCTCTATTGACCCATCTGCCCATGGCCTGGCGGAGCGTGCGGGTGGTAAACTCCAGCGCGGCGGTCTTCCTCTGAAACAGCCACGTGTCGCCGTCAGAGTTAAAGATCCCTTGACCAAGCAGCTCATGAAAAACGGACTGCCACGTCGGACCCTTCGGGTAATTGTCGAACCGGGTCTTCAAGATGTGCTCCAGATTCTTCGGGTCGCAGGTGACCGTGATCAGGCCCTGTTTCCGGGCCAGGAAGGGGACGGCGCAAATGCAGGTCTGGTACGTTCCGCCGCAGGCTCGGAGGTTGTCGGCGATCCAGTCATGCATACGTTCGGAGTTCTCGATGAGGCCGGGCAGGCTGCCCAGAAGCGGCCAAACTCTGGGTCCCTTCAAGGATCTTGAAATGAAGGTGAACCAGAGGAGGTACAGAGTTACCGCGGTGAAAAGAAGCAGGGCTATGGCGATGCTGTCCATTTTACTGCGTGCGGACGGGTAAAAAAAGGTGAAAATGGGGTGGGTAAAAATGAAGGGCCAATGGGATGGGAGGTGAATATAGAATGGAAATGGGGAAAGAGGTGGGAGGGTTTTATAGGGCAGAAAATGAGAAGTGAAGGGAAGCAATAAGTAGAGACAGACTGGTTAATGAATGGATTTCATGACCATCTTCTCAATGCCACAACCATAAATGCATCAACTCCCCCACCACTACTATACCATCGACCATAGCCCAACAAGTCTTTGAGTGGCCAAATTGTTTTCGAAACGCACGATGCACACGCAAAGATTTTGAATAGAAACTCTCATATTGTTTGAATCTAGATTTTAGGGTCAACATATCCGTGTTCGGTTCAGTTTTCATCAGTTTCGGTTCGACTTTGAACGAGTAGGGAGAATTATTACCAAACAAAAATCATACGGAGTAAGGAGTATTTTTTTCGGTTCGGTTCGATTCTGTTTAGTTTGGTTTGGTTTGAATTTGTTATTTTTTAATAATATATGAAAGTATTATTGAATTTCATTATTTTGATTCAGTTTTGTTTGGTTTTTATCGATTTTGGTCCAGATCAATTTAATAGGATTTGAATCGAAAGAAATACTACCTCCTTCCCTTAAAACTTTGACAAAGTTGATCGGCACGGAGAAATAATTGATTAAAAGGAAAATGACAAAGTTTTTTAGGACGTCCTAAAAATGAAAGATGACAAAGTTTTAAGGGACGAATGGAGTACTACCAAACTCAAATCAAATATGATACACTTCGATTAAACCAGATCGTTATGGCCACCCCTAGATAGATTGGTTCAATTTACTAACTTATACTCATTCCTTCTCGAAAAGATAATTACATTTTGAATTTTGAAGTTTAACTGATAATAAAGCAAATTTCGTCCAGACAATTTATTATGTAACAAGAATTAGAAGTTAAAATTTACATATCCATAAACTATAGTAAAACTCTATTAAGCTAAGTAGCAAAATTTAAATACAAATATAATAGAGTTTTGATACTACATATATAAAAGTAGATATCAAAAGTGATTTGTGGTAACAAATGAATAGTGAAGTGTAACTCTTATTATGTAACGGAGGTAGTAAAAAATTATATTCAAAATAGATATTCTTCGACAATCCAATCAATTAAGACAAGAAAAGTAAATCTAATGTTATTTATTTTGATTACTACACAATTGAGTTTGTGAAATAAGAAATTAATTACGTAAAAAGTCAACTAATAATAATAAGGCTTATAAGATTAAAACAGACGTTGCCAATGAGATTTCTTATTCAATCTCTTTTTTTATCTTCACTTATTCTAGATTTATCTCCATTTCTCTTTTAAATTAAAGAATAATCTCTGTCCAGTTCCCTTTAACAATTACCACGTATAAAAAATGATCTAAACAGGAGTAACTTTTTTTGAAATTCTAAAATAGGGATATCATATTTTTATTTCCTAAACAGGAGTAATTTTTGTCAAGTTTGAAAAAACTATCATTTTAAATTACTTGATAGAAATTACTCCAATTTTGAATTTCAAAATCTTTTTACTCACGAATACAAATCACCAAGTATTTATATGAAAAAACATGCAATTCTTATGCGGAGTAGTAGTAGTATTAATTATACAGTGTAATATTCCTGTAATATAGTGTTATTTGACTTCTTTGTTGCTCTTATTACGGTGTTATTACAGTTATACGTAGTAATATAATACGATATTGACGCAATAAATATAATTCTCTTTATTCTTGAATTTTATATGATAATCTCTAAACATATCACATTTGTTTTTTGGGTGTACAATAGAACACTCCTAAAGAGACTCATTTAAATCACCTTTTTTGGTTGTATTAAATCACCCTCTTCAATTCTTTCATTAAATTAGTGTTGCCTGAGTTTAAGTATATAAAGAGAGAAAGAGATAAATGATTTTGCTAGGTCTAGTAGGATTCGCCGTTCGACCAAGGTCATTTTGGGCTCTTTTCGGTGGGTTTTTGATGAACTATTTTGAGCACGTTCTTCATCAAATGTAGTCCATGTAAACATATATTGTCTCTACAAAATTCCAGTTAAAATTTCAATCGAGAAGTCAATTAAATAAAAGAAAAAGTGGCAAATTTTTGTAATTATATATCTTCAGAATTTTTAACAATTTTTAGAGATAATTTTAACAATTTTTAGAGTTTTTAAAACTTTCACAATTTTTGTGATTGGATTGAAAATAGTAGAAAGACATTCATACAATTTTTAAACTCTTTTTTTAACTTTCAAAATAAGTTTTCATATACCGAGTATTGACATTCAAAGCCATGCATGCATCATGCATACTTGTTTTTATTGTCGTGTTCTCTACGGTTCTACCGCCCTTCTCCACTAATTTGATACCAACGAGCTCCCTCTCCTTATGCATATATGATAAGTTAGAGGTCGTTGACTTGAAAAGTCAAGTTTGGCTAAGTAAATTGGGACGGAGGTAGTAATCGAAATTAGCTTGCCTCGAAGGCTCGTAGGTATATTATCCAAACAATTCTTATTGTGCACATTTTATTGTTTGCACACTTGTACACATAATATGTGAAAGTTTTTTTTTGTCTTGACACGGGAAAAAACTTTCACAGACATTATGTAAAAGTGTGTAAACATTAAAAGTGTGTACAAAAAGTTTTTTTTGATATTATTCGTGCCAAATCATGGGTCATCTACCTGTTTCACTGTTTGACCAAGACGAAATATATGAATATAGTGACGTTTTTATTAGATACAAGTACAAATTAAATAAAAAACCATTTTCTCTTTTTCCTTCGAATCCCCTTTTCTTTTGTTCTTCCAACTGCCAATTCGAAAACCTAATTGATAATCTTAAGAGCTGAGAGTAAATGCAAATCACTTCGATAACACTATGTGTCTCTTAGATAGGTTCCCAACACAAATTTTGGGTAAAGTATCCCTAATTTGTCCATGCTTAAGGGTTGATTCTATCTATATTAAGCATTCAATTCACTTAAGCTGGCTAAATTTTGGACAAAATACTAACAATTCAATTTTAATTACTTCTTTGGTGATGACTATTTAAACTTTTTTAGCTCTTTAACCAATAGCTTGAACTCAATTAAAAGTAAAAACAATAGAAGGTGTTAAATGTGGGGTGGACCGGTTCCGGTTCGGGCCCGGTTCGGGCCTGGGCCCGGCCGGGCCTCGGTTCCCGGGTAACCCCCGGGTCCGGGCCGGGCCGGGCCTCGGTTCTATTTTTTTTTTTTGGCTTTTCCTAGTTAACCCCCAACCCTCCCCCCTCACCCCCAAACCAACCCTAACCACCTCAAATGGCCTAAAATACCCAGCCCAACCCAAAAACTTAAAAAAAATTCAAAAAAAAATAATAATAATAATAAATTGGCCCGGCCCGGGCCCGAACCGGCCGGGCCGGTTCACCTTTTGAAGTGCCCGAGCCCGAATTGCCATCCCACCGGGCCGGGTGGCCCGAACCGGTCAACCAACCAGTTCACCGGGCCGGTCCAGACCCGCACAATAGCGGGCCGGTCCGGTTCCGGGCCAGTTGGCCCGGCCCGAGTCCACTCCTATCCATATCATTAAACTAGCTAAGCTAGCCCATGGAATCTTTCCAACTAATTTCTGGGACGAAGGGGTGCTGGCCATTTAAACTTGTGTGGGCATTGAATGAAGAGGTATTGAATTGAATGAGATTAGTTGAGAAATTGTCGTTGGTAGGGAGAAGGAGGTGCCATTGAAAAGAATGACGTACGAGAGCTGGCAGGGCCTCCACAGTTAAAAACAATTTTATCGTTGTTGTTATATAGCTTTAATAATATTACTATTAACTAATGACATTACTATTAATATTACGTAGTAATAAACTAGGGTTTTAATAGCAAGTTGTTACTTAACAATGGTTATCATGGCCGGGGTGTTAATAAAAAAGTGAAGGATTGTTCCCATAATTCAAGACTGAATGTTTTCACTTCGGCTACCTAACTATAATCTTCTGGTCTAATCTTTTTAAGTATGCTTTGTATGGAGTATTTTACTATTAAAACTGTATAGAGTGAATTGCACAAATAGGACAAGAAAGTGACCAAAGAGTACAAATGGAACTACACCCATCTTTTAAAATTACCCCAGTAGGACTGTGTTTGGACAATTGTAACCTTGTAGCTTTTGAAATATCTTAATTAATAATAAAATCATACAAAAATAACAAAAAAGTAAAAAATAATTAAAACCCGTAAAAATTAAAAAATATAATTTTTTTTTAAAAATAAAAATAAATTAAAAACATTAAAAAAAACGCTGCCACCTCTGCCAACTCCAGCACCACCAGCTCCCATCACCGGTTGGAAATTTGCCAACATTTTTAGTAATGCCATAATAATGGCAGATACAATGAGAATTTTGGCATTATGAAGAGTAATAATGTCATTTTCTTGGTAGTGGTGTCGGGAGCGGTAGGAAATGTATCCATTTGTTTTATTGTTTATGGGTTTTTACTATTTTTATTAATCTGTTAAAAAAAATTCAAAAAACAATTTTTTTTCTCGATTTTTTATATTTTTTACGATTTTTTATTATTTTAAAGATTTTATTATGTAGTAGTTCTATTTGTGCATTTTAGGGAATCTTTAGTCCTATTTAGAACAATTTCTAAGTTGTTTACAATGGTAGACCCCCTTTGTTCAAGGATGTTCAATTGAACATCCAAAACTTTGAACATAGTGTAAAAAATAGATATAGAATTGATGTAATAACTTATACTTCATATATCATATCTTTCATACAACATTTCTTACTCTAAGGATTCTAAACCCCATTTATTATTAGTATCTTTTTTTAGTTGAAAAAATTACGCATCTTCAAGTTTTGAATAAAATGATATATTTGTGTAATACTTTAATGATAAAATAATTTTCAACACCCCACATTTAATTGCAAGGTCTGCCACCGTGATTGACTATTTAAGTCTGGTCTAATCTATTAAAATCTAGTCAAATTAGTGAAACGGATTCGAATATCCTAGAATATCTGGTACACGGATAAGATACCCTAATCAAGTATCCACAACATAAACTAGTAAACTACTACGGAGTATTGTTTACGTATAGTCTCATCTATTTAAGTCTGGTCAAATTCGTGAAACCGATCGAGTATCCTTGTCAGCAACCCGGCCACCAAGAATTGGAGAAAAATAACTCATTATGTCATTATTATTATTAAGAAAAAAAGAAGAAAAACAAAAAGAAGACGATGACCAGTAGCGGAGCTTTGACTTTCTTGAATGCAATGTATAGAGAGAGGGCCAATAGTCATGACTGGTGGTGGAATAAATAGAAAAAAAGTCAACCCTTATGACTTGCGACCATAACAAACTAACATTTGGAATTCGAGACCTGATGAGCGAAGATTTGCAGTACCCTAAGGTCAACCCCTGCAATAAAAACCGGTGAACGGTTTTTTAATTGGTCAAAGGGTTAAATAAATCGGTCCATCCGTTTCAATTCACTCATTCAACTACAAACAACTTCATTCAAATGAGTTTCATCTTTGGATTATTGTATGCTCTTCAACAGGTTTTTAATTCTCTAAAGGGTTACATACACTACAAAAAAACCACGGGATTGACAGAGATTTTAGCAGAGATTTAACAGAGATTTTGGCAGGGAAATGCCAAATCCGTGCAGAAAACACTTTGGCACGAGCTATTTGGCACGAAAAATCGATAAGTTCGTGCCAAATTCCGTGCCAATCCCGTAATTTTTTTGTAGTGATAGATCCCTGTAGCGGTCTTATAAGCTCAATTCAGTCTCTGAACTAAAAAAAGTTTCAATTCGCACCCCGAACAAACGAAAACTGGTTCAAATTTCATTTTTACGGGGTAAACACAATCAGTCATCTTTTTAATTTTTTTATTGTTTATGTTTTTTATTTTCGATTTATTGCAATTTTGACACTTTTTAGTAGTTTAAAAGTGCGAATTGGACCTTTTTACCGGTTGTTTACATGTAAAAATTGAAATTCGAACCCTTTTTTGCCATTTCAGGGTGACATTTTTTAGTTCAGGGACTGAATTGGGCTTACATGACCGATAAAGGGGCTTATTTGACCCTTTAGCCGTTTTTAATTTGTTTATAAGCTATTCAGAAATCATAATGTTAATGAAAGAAAATAAAAAAAATATAGCTCTGTAATAAGAATGATAGGAAATACGGAGTATCATAATGAATTTATTGCCTTTTTGGATAATTGTATCAGAAATAGTAAACATAATTGTATTTAAAATATTAGTACTCAAATTAAATGAAGAATATATATGCGCACAAATATGTGTTTGATTATATACATACATTAATAATAGTAGTAGTAATTATACAAAACAAGGAGTAATATTTTAGTCCGGTCAATCCGGTAATAATAGTGGTTGATCAAAATGCAGTTAATATTATCATTCGATATCAATCAACTTAACCAATTGAGTATCAGCTAACAACCAAATGAAAATTGCCAAACACCCTCGTTAAATACGTATCACATAAGCTCTTGGTTCATTAAAAATTGTCCAATTCGCACTCTTAAACTATTAACGATCAGATAGGGCATCGAACTTACAAAAAAAAAATGTCAAATAAGGTCATATATAGGATGCTCTGTACGTCCGACGCCATTTGGGGTGGTTCCTGGTTAAATTTTTCGATAAATTTTTTTGAGCATCTTATTCATTAAGTCTAGTTTACTCTTATCAAATTTGAATCAAAAATTCAATCGGGAAGACATTCAAATGAATTCTTGAAAATAACTGCACAGTTAAAATCGCAATTATCTTCAAGAATTTATTTGAATGACTTCTCGATTGAATTTTTAGTTTAAATTTGGTATGACTAAACTAGACTTAATGAATAAGATTCTAAAAAAAAATCATCAAAAAATTCCATCAGAAACCACCCCAAATGGCGTCGGCCGGACAGATCATCTTATATAAGACCTTATCTGACATTTTTTTGCAAGTTCGAGGTCCTATCTGACCCTTATCCCTTCAATAACATATATATTCACACAAAAATTGTCACATTATCATTATCTTTTCCCTCAAATATTTTCAACCCTGACTTGGGACAATCCTAATTTCGACCATTATTGTTTTCACTGCACAATGTTATTGTAAAGATTGACATAGAAAATTGTGAACAATTCTTTTCCAGCTTCATCCCAACTTTTATCTTCTCTACGCCACTGATCGTCAACATCATCCTCTTGAATTTAAAAGCACATTTATCTTTCTAACAGCTGGTTAGATTAATGTGGCACGAATTAGCAAGAATTCATTATTAGAACCCCAACAATCGTCCAATTTCCTCACATTTTACTATCTTCTTTTTGAAGTGAATATTAAATATAAAAGAGTAACTTTTCTTTCTCGATTGAATCCTCAACCCCAAAGGTCCCCCATGCCTAGATACGATAGAGAATGTGGGATGATGTAAATCACGGTTACTCAATCAATTCTAATGGTGATAGACCTTATACTCATGCGCACAAAAGACCCAGCCCAACCCAACATATATGAGCTGTGACCTCCTCACGGTCGCTGCGAGTTTCGATCATTGGTCATTCACTCTCCAACTTTCCCACCGCTTTAGCAGTTGAGCTACTCGTGTGAGTACTTTTCTTGAGCTTAGGGCAGGTGGAGATGTTCTTAGTCTTTAAGAAATACAATATTGATTCTTTTCATTATTGATGGGGATCGATGAATCAAGCAATTTAAAGAATACATGATCACATTGGTTTCTAGCGGGAAAAAGCATAGCACAGCATACAGTGATAAACTTAAATCCAAGAAAATACTTATACCCAGGCTAATTGGTTCAATTCTTTATTTTTAGTCTCAGCATAATTATACGGAGTATGTATGTGTGTGTCTGTGTGTTTGCAGATACTCAAGAGCTTTTTGTTATTTTAAAATTGATCTTAATGCTTAATATATGTGATTGAATTTTAAGCACGGGCTTATGTGATCAATTAACGTATTTAATGAGGGTGTTTGGCAATTTTCATTTGGTTCATTAAAAATTGCCAAACACTCTTATTACCTACGTTCATTGATGTACATAAGCTCTTGGTTCATTAAAAATTCAATCACATATAATTAACTTAACTTCTAAAGCAAAACTTGTAGCTTCAAAATTGAAATGTTTAACTTTGCTCGCCTTCACACCTATGAATATATCGTCAAATGAGAATGATGCAAAACAGAATACAACCGATTCAAAAAAACCGAGAAAAAATTAAATTGTTTTATGTTTCAACGAACCCACTATAACCTCTAACGTAGATTACGATATTACTACCTCCGTCCCATTAGAAGGTTCTCGTCCACTATTCACATGACCAACTTGAATCATTTTTAATCTTTTACTTCATAAATCAAATTTTTATCAAATTTACATTTTTTTATCAGACTTTGTAGCGGCTTTAATGTAGTTTCTGAATATGTAAATTTTATTTACTAAAAATAATAAGAGTATGAACAAGGATTAAGTTGCTTTATCATCAATCAAGCATCGTAAACCGCCAACGGGAACCTTTTAGCGGGACGGAGGAGGGAGTATGATATAAGGAATATTATGATACTCCCTCCGTCCCTTATAACTTTGTCAACTTTCCTTTTTTTGGATGTCCCATTAACTTTGCCACTTTTTCTTTTAAGTAAAGAATTTGTGGTTCCAGTTAATTTTCTTTTCTCTGTACAAATCTCAACCACACAGTTTTTACTTTATTAATCTACGCGCTGGTCAAATTTGGCAAAGTTATTATGGATGGAGGTAGTATTAGTGTCCTTTCTTATTGGTTGTTATTCTCTCACGTGTCCTATACACTGATACACACATTTGTTTTGTATGCGTGTCCAATCAATAAAAAACGCATTCCATTATACAACTTTCAACTTTTACATGATGCCAAAGTATGTCCACTCACAAATTATTTACAGAGTATTTATCCACCTTTTAACTTATTCAGCATGAATTGGGTTGAGGGACATATGTGTATGTGTATATATATATAGACACACACACGATAGTATATATATATATATATATATATATATATATATATATATATATATATATATATATATATATATATATATATATATATATATATATATATATAGGAATATTCAGGTCCGAACACCATCCGAACAACGCCGTTCAGGGCGGTTCCCGCTGGAATTTTTTGATGAAATTTTTATGGTATGTTCTTCATCAAGTCTAGTTTATCCACAAAAAATTTCAGCTCAAAATACGATCGGGAAGGCCTTCAAATGATTTTTTGAATTTGACTGCGTTTTTGTATGTATAATTTGGCGCAGTCAACTTCAAAAATCATTTGAAGACCTTCCCGATCGAATTTTCAGCTCAAATTTTTGTGTGAATAAACTAGACTTGATGAAGAACATACCATAAAAATTTCATCAAAAAATTCCACCGGGAACCACTCCAAACGGCGTTGTTCAGACAGTGTTCGGACGGGGAATGTTTGGAGTTTGGACCTGAACATTCCTCTCTCTCTCTCTCTCTCTCTCTCTCTCTCTCTATATATATATATATATATATATATATATATATATATATATATATATTGCTCAATGGTTAAATATAATGAACTCCTGTTAGGTAGCTCTTAAGATTGAACATCATAATTCTTAGGGAGGGGAACCAAGAACTCAAGAAGTTATGGTTAGGAGTTTGCTTTTCTGGCAGCCGCATAGTGCACAAGTTGGGGTCTAACCGTCAAAGTACAGAAAGAGCATGGATTCCTATTATCAAAGAACAAAAAACTTGGTAAATTTAATTTGAAAACAAAGCTCATCAAGCAGTCAGAATAATACAGAGTTTTCTGAGATATCGTGTCCCCTGTAATGTGTGCATTTTACAATCAATAGCAATCCATCTCCTAAAGGACCAAATATGATTGCAACTTAATATCAAGGCAAGTACTTTACACAACTCGTTGGAAAGTAAAGACATTTCACAAACCCGCCACATGTAACATTTACTGTGCTGCCCAACTTTGCCCTTGGTCCCGTCTTTAATGCCGTGCTGCAGAAGAGCTGTTCTCTTTGATGAAGGTGCCCCGGTTGTGACCGCGCACAATTATGTCCTTAAGTCGTGACAGGGGAACAAACATCCTCCCAATCTTCTGCAAGAGGGTAAACGTAACGGGCATGAGGTTATAAAATATAATATACTCCCTCGATCCCAATAAAAAACAAGAAAAAACAAGTCATGTTTGAGTAAGGTATGCCTTTCAATTTTAGTTGAATCAACCTGTACTGTATAAGTTATGGATGGTAAGTCAGTTATATACGCCTAAAAGTCTAAAATCTATTTCCAAGACTGCTTAGAGTTATTCATAAACATGTTTGACCAACGGCTTTAAAAGAATTTCACCTTAAATTAAAGCTGACTTCTAAAACTGGATTCCTTTTTGGAACAAAAAAAGATCTTCCAATTCAGACTTTTTGATGGAGTGGAGAGCGTAATAAGGAACCACCAAGAACTGAAGGGCTATGTTAAGAAGTGCCAAACGTTAAGAACTGAAGTGCCAAAACATAGAAGTGCAAGTAGGATATGAGCTAAGAAGATGTTCCATACACAATAAAAGAAGTCATCAGATCGTTCATTCTCAGTTTATCTATAATTACATTTCTTTCTGGCCACCGACGAGAACAGTCTTTTCTCCGTTCTTTTTCCATGATAGACGGGTATGGACTATGGCATATGGAGAGAGGAGTAATATATAGCACTAAGAAGATGAAGGAAATTAAACTCTGTGAATACAACTAGGAGCAGTCTAATTAATCAGATATACTAGCACCGGCTAATTTATACTCACAGAGGTTCGAGGTAATTGAACCAGTCTATAATTATATACTTCTGCGAGTATAGTAGCACTGGTAGAATTGATCAAGTACAAACTAGCTTCAATTATGAACATGACAAGGGAGACACAAATTAAGGTCAGACTGAGTAAAATTAATCTCTACGTCAACCTATATTTTATAATGCGTAATTTATACTGGAAAACCTCATTACTTTGAAATTAGATGAATTCTAAAGCAAGGGAAACAGGCAGATGTTGACTGTTCAGGATACAACTCATTTGGAAAGCTTAAATACAACAACAACAACAACATCCAAGCCTTAATCCCAAAAGAATTTGGGGTCGGCTAACATGAATCGATCTATGATATCGATGCCAAAAAGAGAAGGCGGACAAGAACAGGAAAAAAAAGTAAGATAAAATGAATAAAATAAAGATACATAAATAATAAGATAACAATAACACGAGAATATAACCAAGATAAAAGAAAAATAAATAAAAGAGCATAAAAAAGCTAGAAGATAAAAATAACATAAGAATATAAAAAGATAAGGAAGATAAACGATAAAAGAAACAAGAGAAGAAAGGTAGACAAGACATCAATCGTCCATATGGATGTGCGCCATCCACCTTGCTCTCTCCAAAGTCATACTCTCATCCAACCCAAGAAGACGCATATCAGTTCTGATTACTCTAATCTAAGTCTGTTTGGGTCTTCCCCTCCCTCTCTTCTCTGACTCTTCTCCCCACCCCTCAAGTCGTCTAACAGGTGCATCACTCGGTCTTCTATGCACATGCCCAAACCACCGCAAACGAGACTCCTGCATCTTATCTTCTATAGGTGCTACTCCCACCTTTTGTCTGATTATCTCATTCCTCAGGCGGTCTTTTCTGGTATGTCCACACATTCGACGCAACATACGCATCTCTGTCACACTCATCTTTTGAATGTGGCATTGCTTCACCGCCCAACACTCTACGCCATACATTAATGCCGGCCTAATTGTTGTACGATAAAATTTACCTTTCAGTTTAGTCAGCATACCCCGATCGCATAGAAATCCTGAAGCACTTTTCCATTTCATCCACCCAGCTCTGATTCTATGACATACATCTCCATCTAATTCACCATCCTTCTGAATTATGGATCCTAAGTAACGGAACATATCACACACCGGTATCTCCTTACCATCAAGAGTAATCCCACTGTTGCTACCGCTTCTACCTCCACCGAACTTGCACTCCATATACACAGTCTTGCTCTCCAATGTTTGTCGCCATACTTCCAACTTTGCTTTAACACCGAATTGTGTCTCATCAATCAATACAATATCGTCGTCAAACATCATGCACCACAGTATATCTTCTTGAATTGACTTCGTAAGTTCATCCATGACTAAAGCAAATAAGAAAGGACTCAGAGCCGATCCTTGGTGCACTCCAATAGTAATAGGGAACTCTGCGGTCTCCCTACACTAGTGCGGACACTTGTAGTACAAGCATCATACATATCCATGATGATGCTGATATACTTACGTGATATGCCTTTTCTAGTTAAGACCCACCAAAGAACTTTTCGACGTACCCTATCATATGCCTTTTCTAAGTCAATGAACACCAAATGCAGATCCTTTTTAGTGTCTCTATACTTCTCCACAACTTGTCTAAGAAGGTGAATGGCCTCAGTTGTTAAGCGTCCAGGCATAAAACCAAATTGATTCTCCAAAATTTTCACACTTTTATGTAGTCTTTGCTCAACCACTCGCTCCCAAAGTTTCATGGTGTGACTCATAAGCTTAATCCCTCGATAGTTAGCACATTCTTGCACATCACCCTTATTTTTAAATAAGGGAATGAGAGTGCTCTTCCGCCAACTCACTGGCATTTTGTTGTTTCTCCAAATCATGTTGAAGAAACGTGTTAGCCACTCGATGCCTTTCTCTCCCAAACTTCTCCAAGCCTCGATCGGTATGCCATCTGGGCCCACTGCTTTCTTCCGGCCCATTTTTCTCATAGCCTCTTTAACTTCTGTTGTTTGAATCCTTCTCACGAAGTCCCTATTTACCATACACTCTGGTATAGTAAGATCATCAATACCTTGGACTCTATTCATTTGGAAAGCTTAAATAAACAAAAATATTTCTTTCTTTTTCATATTTAAAGGTCAAGCAGACATGATAAATAACTTTGTGTAGCATACTAGCGTTTCTCTCTTTCCCCAGCACTTTCTAGGATCCAAAGACGCTCTATAGGTGCTGGTTAACCTGCCTAAGATTTTCATGGATAAGCCTACTGAAAAGATCAGAATTAATAATAGAAAAGATGAAAACCAGAGAGTATGAGGAAATCATGTTTAGAGTAATGGGTGAAAAAGAAATGGAGGAAAATCACAGGCGCTCATTACGAGCAAGGAGCTCAATATAAGTAGTCATTGATTTTCTATACAAATCATTAATAAATGGCCAGGTTCACAACTCTATCAGAAAGATATTAAAAAAAGAGTCATCTTTCACCAACGTACAACTACAAGAAATATTGATCAAGCTTTTAAATAAATCGATATTTTAACTAAACTGAACATACTCGACTTGTTTGGAACTTTAAAAAACCACACTATATAGAACGGAAAATAGCTTCTTTTGTTCAAATATGACTCTTATTTGGTACAAAAATAAGTTATGAAGTATTAAATAGGACATTATGGATGGAGGAAGTACTTCACAATTAAACAAAAAATGAAATACCTCATGACAGAGTCCATGCTGCAGCTTCAGTTGCAAGATCTGCCACCTCTCTTGCTGCCACTGCTGACCAATTATCACAAGTCCCATTACAGCTGCTGCAACAAAGATTGACCAAAATGTATTTGCCTCTTTGGCATGTGCAACAAGAGAAGCAGTTTGTCTTTTCCACCATGCTTGACAAGGAAGTCCGTCGTCATGCTCATTCTCTTTTGTAGACTTTGAAGAATTCAAACTGCTGGCATTTGATTCTTGCTGAGAAGGTTCAGATCGAAAATTTATTTCTCTACTTTCCTCAAACATATTTGAGTTTTCATCACTACGTGAGAAGCTAGGCATTTCAGTACTATATAAAGCTGATTCAAAATCTCCCTCTTGTGCAGTATCTTTTTCAAATTCTGCATCACCAATAGGTAAGATATTCCCATTCTCATCAAAAATCGGAATTCCACGAAAACCAGATGAAGCAAACTGTTCAGTTTTCACATCCTCACTTACATATTCCATGTTGTTAACACCCCGCTCAGTCTGGGTCGCATGATTGCTCTCTGGTTCCAATGGTAAATTTTCATGCTGACTCGGTGGAAAAACAAAGTGACCAGACATAAACACCGCCTCAGATGTTTCACCTTCGTACTCTTCCCAAGTCTTATGCTCATTATTCAAAGCAGCATATGCTGATGATGTAAGGGATACAACCTCCCACTCATTTCCACGAGGAGGTGGCTCTTCTCCCTCCTCTTTACTCGCCATTGAGAAAAAAATTGAGTTCCACAGCCTTTACATGTAAGGAATTTAGTTTACAGTAAGAATTACATGATAGGGCCCGTAATATGAACAATATTTAAAAACAAAAATAACAAAATATATGTCATTCTGAAGCAGAGTTAAGGGAGGGCAATATATACCCAGACCTTATCCGTACCCAAGAGGTAGAGACAGATGCAAATAAGACACTTGGAGAGTGTTAAAAGGTAGTGAGGGCAACGTGAAAAGCAAGCAAGAGATATCCACAATGTAAGATTGTAAGCAAAACAAGTCAGCAAAGAATCACACAAACACGCATAGAAGTAAGCATGTTAAGTTGTTAACCATAATGAAAAATAAAGCAGACTCCAGCAGTGAAAAGTCAAAAGCAATAACGCATAAGGATTGCATATATAGTGATTGAGAGCTTATCGGAGATGATATTCTAGAAGAGCTAAACTGCCTCTCCTCGATTCATTTTTTTTTCAGTTTTACAATATATTTCAGCAGTTAGAGTTTTAGACATGATAGATTATAAAAGTCATATTGTTAATAGTTGTCTTCATCAATTTCATTAAACTATGCCGTTTAAACAATCCGTAATTAGAAATACTCCACCAAACCTTTGAATTCAAATCGCATTTAGTCATTTAGATGAGATGGTTAATCCAAGAGAATGAGGTCAATGAACACAGATGTAAATGAAGCCGGCGAACTTATCTAACGCTTAAGAGATTCCTACAACTAAAGCCTGCAGATTGTCGAACCGGTAAGAATAACAAGCACAGATCCAATATCAAATAGGAACTAAGATAACTACAGGTTGAAGCTTTCTAGTCAATAAACCAAACAAAACTATAAAAGAATCAGAATTTAAAAGAAACGCGACATATTAATGCTCACCAAAGAAGAAAGATGGAGATCGCGGCGAAATCAAAGCTCCGGTGAGGAGGAACGGCAAAAATAGGTGCTGGGAAGAGATAGAATCGTACAACAAAGAAGATCAAAGATGACAAGAGAACTCAATCATAGCACAATAAGCGGCCTAACCCCGAATAATAAAAAATTATTGTCTTTAAACTTAAATCGGAAAAAGTGGACCATTTAAACACATAACTCACCTGTTTGGGTTACATTTGGCCACTCCCTAACTGAGCCATACATCTGTCGTTAACTTCCTCTTCTCCCCCCAATTACACGCTACCCAACAACTCCTCAGCAACCCTAATAAAAACGATCAACGACTTGGAGGTGGACTGGTGAAGAGAAATCACGTTCGAGGTGGGTGATTTCACGTTCGTATAACAACAACAGAGAAATGGGTGATGGAGGTTCACGTTCGAGGTGGACTGGTGAAGAGAAATCAAGCTGTTTCTCCGTTGAATCGGTGAAGAAGCGAAGCAATATAGAATCTGGAACTCCTACTCGTTTCACCTATTGTAAATGCAGAAACATGAATGGAATGGTTACAGAAGCTAGACTTTGGACCTCATGGACTGATAAGAATCCTAGGAGACGATTCTATGGATGCCCATATTATAAGGTAAGTTTGTAAATTGGCGGTCTTGTTTATATAGATGACTAGAATTAATATATGTGTTTTGTACTGTAGAAGGAGGGGTGCGATTTCTTTCAATGGCATGATGAGCAATTCACAAATAGAGCGAAAGATGTGATAAATCAGCTGAAATGGGAGAACAAAAGGCTTAGGGGTGCACTATGTCACCCAAATGGCAAAGGGGGATGTTTGATGACACTGCAGGGCTAGAATTTGATACTGAAAGTTGTCAATTTTAAAGTTCAGATCAAAGGCTGCAATATGATAGTACCAACAATGCTGAGGTTATGAATTTGGAAAGGGAAAGAAAGATAATGAGGAACTACTTAGTTGTACTGTTTTTGTGTGTCCTACTTGCACTGATTTGTATGTTAACTTAGGTAGAAGAATATAGTAGGTTATGGTGTTGTAATTTTGTTTAATGTATGCATTCTGCTATTGTAAACAGATGACAGATCCAATTTGGAGATTTCATATGTATGAATGGGAATGGTATGAAGATATATGTCATTGTGTATGTTTCAATGTGTTTGTCTGAATGTGTAGGGATTATTGTGTCCATAGTAAAACAGAAGAAAAAAGCTGTTATAATGCAACCATTCACTTTTCAAGCACGTAATATAAAGCAACCATTCAGATAACGTTTCACATAAAGCAACCATCCATTCATATAAAGCTTCATATAAAGCAACCATCCATAAAACAAAAAGTTGTTACAGCATTCATATAAATATTCAACCTCTGATTTCGCACTTGTAAAACTGATAGAGGACCTTTGTTCTAAGAGTGAAATGTAAAGCCAAAAAGCCAGTGTTGCCACCTACCAAAACACAAAAATGTGACAGCTAGCACATTGAATCCAAAAGTACTTATACATGCTAATTAATTTTTTTGTTGACTATCATCGGTCCCAGTGCTAGGTTTCCTCCTCCTTTGCACCTTCTTTCTTAATTGGCCCGATGTGACAGCAGGGCTACATTTCCATTGCAAATCAGGGGCTTTGAAAGGTAGGTTGGTGGGCTGTTGTACATGTGCTCCATCACCCTTAAATGCTATATCTCTGTATCTTGGCTCATTGACAGATTTCTGATTCCGGGCAGCAGCTCTTATTTCCTTCTCATTAGGAATAGCATATCTAACTGGAACATCAGGATCATGTAGCATGTCCACTTGCACCTCAGAAACAACATGTTCACTCCTCATCCCAATCTGCAAAACCAAGAGGTATAAGAACAACAAACCTAATCAATCTGATTTTACAACATCCAGCTCTTATATTCACAACCAAGAAAATACTTTACTTTTCTATTCCTTAAGAAATACTCACATTTAAAGTCTTTGCCCCAGTATTAACATCAACATAGCAACCAAAACCAGTTAAAGTGTCAAGGCTTTTGTTTCTAGCTATTCTTCTTGATTTGAATTTTGAGGGCCTGGTGATATTGGTTGTTTATTTTTCCCTTCCTGGTGGTGGGGGTGGTGAAACTGCCGGGGTCAAAGCCTCAGCAGCAGTTCTCTTCACACTTTGATTTACAATGGGCTCTTCATTTGCCTAATACATTAAACATATAAGTAACTTCATAACAACAACAATCTTACAATACAACTGAGCATAAGTATTTTTATAAGAACATAGAACACTTACAGAAGTGGCTTGGTTTGGACATTTAGACCTTTTATGACCCTCTTGATGACAGATCCCACAAGTTTGCACTTGGCCTTTTTTTGAAGCTTTTTGAGTTGTGGCAGGTTCTTGGTTTGAAGTACCTGATGATGGTTTGCCCTCAGTAGATGACCTTACCCTATTTTTTTAGGTCTTCCTGGTAAATTTGAAACTGAGGGAGGTTCAATTGCTTCATAGTCCTCAACTTTCATGAAAACTTTACCAGGAACTGGTTGCAAATAATTCTGATATGTTGCCTTGTGTGTTGATCTGTGATACCACTTTGAAATGAATGACATAGGATCTAACTTCTTATGGTACAAAGCACATATGGCATGTAAACATGGTATTCCTGTAAGTTCCCATGCCCTGCAAGTACATACCATCTTATCCAAAACAACTGAGTGTTTGTCAGCTCCCTCACCTATCTCAAACCCCATATCACCATTGAATATTATAGTACAACCTGTTGCAGCCTCCTTATTGTCTTGATAGTATTCCATGCATGTAGGAGACCATTCATTTATCCATTTCTCTGGAATGTCCTGAAACTCAGCAATCCTCTTCATTGCCTTCAACCTGATGTCTTCTAGCATGCTAACAATTGGTTTTCTTCTTGCTTCCCGGATCCATGAGTTGAATGACTCAGTTATATTATTATCAACCATCCAACACTGACTTTTGTTACTAAAATATGCACGACACCATGTTTGGATTGGATACTTCAACACATCAGAGGCTGCTTCTTGGCTAAGCTTTCCTAATTTTTTCAAATTCATTTCCAACTCTTCTTCATATGTGCTCAATGCACAAATCCAGAATCTCTTACAAAATTCATCGCCTCTCTATTTCTTGGACCAGTTAGCATAAACATGCCTAGCGCAATACCTGTGCTCTGCATCCGGTATAATCTCTTGAGCAACAATTATTAAACCCTTCTGCATGTCAGATATAAGGGTTAACTCAGCACCGGTGTGAAGCTCTAGTTCCTGAACTAGCCAAGTGAGAAACCATCTCCAGTTAGACTTGTTTTCTTTGTCTATTACAGCCCAAGCAATTGGAACCATTTTCCCATCTCCATCCACACCTACTGCACTAAGCAAGTTTCCCCTACAAACTCCCTTTAAAAACCAACCATCAACCCCAATTATTCTTTTACAACTACCCATCCAGTTTCTCCTCAAAGCATCAAAGCAAATAAACATTCTTTTGAAGACTCTCCTCCCATCTTTCAAGGATTGACTGCACAGTTCAATTTCGGCTTTTGATCCGGGATTGCTTCTCTTTATACAAGCAGCATATGCCTCCAGGTAACCAAACTCTGCTTTATAACTAACATCCAACTCTTGCAGAATAAGTCTTTTGGCCCTCTTGCACTTGTACAAGCTGACATTAATCTTAAGAACTTTCTCAGTCTCCTCTTTCATTTCAGCAACCCTGAAGTTTGGATTTTTTTGTAGGTGACCTTTGAAGTAATTTGCTAGCCATTTCTGAGAAGCACTGGGGATGGAAAAGTGTCTGAAACACTTGTGCTCTAGATTGCATACTTTAACTGCCAAGTCAGAATTCTTCCCATCTTTAGATATCCATAATCTGAATGGGCACCCTTCCTCGTTCAGACATTTTACAGCCAATATGTTCTTCTCATTGGGTTTGATTTTAAGCTTGTAGCCAAACTTGACACCATAGTCTGCAATGGCAGTTCTAGCCTCATGGACATCTTCAAAAGTCATCCCAATAATAAAGCAAGTAGATCCATCTGTGGTAGTGTAGTTAACCCTCACATCTTCATCACTATCTTTTGCTTCCTCTTCTTCATTGCTACTATCAGAATCTAGTGGTTCCTCTTCAGCTTCCCCATCACTTACATAACCATTTGGCACCCCTCTAGTTTCTTGGGGAAGTACCCCCTCATTGACTGTTTCAGGGCTTTGGTTACTCACATTCTCACTCTGGTTGTTTTGAACAGAAGACCACTCTATTTGGGGAATGAGAAGGGGCTCGTCCAGTTGATGATCAACATACAACTCTATATCATCAATCTAAGAAAAAATCATAATCCGATTCAAAACCTTCCTAATTGTGTCATCATCTTCAACTAAAAATAGCCCATTGTCCAAATCTTTTCCGGGTACCAAGACATAAATGTTTTTTAGTGTTATGAAACCCAATTCCTCTTTGTAAGTTCTTTGTATGTCATGAAAGCACAGAAAGTCAGGATCAAACCTATATATTGTATGGACATCCCCATCAACATATTTCATTTTCGGGTGCAAAATCCATCTCCCACTGTGATTAAACCGCAGGTTCACGAACTCACTCATCCTTTAAGAGGAAAACGAAATACGTACACTGAATACCTTTAAGTGTGACTGTGGATTCCAAAATCAGAAGCTAAGCACTCCCAGTCATTCACGTGCGTACGGAAGTAATCACTCTTCTTCTAAGTGCACTTACTTTCAGGCTAAGAATCTTCATGGCAGATGAATTAGCTTCATGGAAGATGAATTAGGGTTGTCAATTTTGTTGGGTAGCGTTTAATTAGGGGGGAGAAGAGGGAGTTAACGACATATGGACGGCTCGGTTAGGGAGTGGCCAAATGTAATCCAAACAGGTGGCTTATGTGTTTAAATGGTCCACTTTAAACTTCAGTGTCCTATCTGAGATTGCTAAACAACGTCAATGTCATTTTTGGCCCTTTTCCCAACTTAAATCTATAATCCTTTTCTAATTTACTACGATTATACTCCCTAGTATATATTCTAGAATTAAATTTCTTCTTATTCAAGTAAACTTATTTCATCCCTTCAAAAAAAAAGTAAACTTGTTTCATCCTTGATCTCTAATTTCACATATTTTACAAATACAAATTAAACTGACTAATAATAACTACATTCAGTGTCACATTAAATTGACATTTTAGTGCGGTATCTACTAAAATTGATATTTTGTACATTTTCATTAATAAAACTGGCTAAAACATTTGAAACTTCTAAAACATGAAAGCTAAGCTTAAAACCTGATTATGCCAAAACACAAATTAAATTTTCAAAATGACAATATCACAATAATGTACTCTTAACACCGGGAAAAGCATACAGAGTAGAAAAAAAATATTTTTTGAAATTGCTAAACGTTTTTAATTATATATCGGGAATTTCTGCTTTCATTTGACATTAACTATAGCTACATTTAGTGTTGACATATTATGAAAGCAGATTCTCAAAAGCCATGTTATGTTCTTTTAAGTTCACCTCAACTCGTAAATGTCTAAACAATAATCAAAACCTAACACTCCGTATTAACCAAACAGCTCTCTACTCTTTGGTGAATCTATTTTTTCCTACCTTAAAATGGGTTCTTAACTATACTAGTGACGCCAGGTAAACAACATCCCAACGGACAAGCATGTTGATTAGTTATGCCATCGGTTATTAACAATTAAATTGAAGAATTACACACAAAGTTGGTATGATTGTAATTTATTTTTCTTAGATATTTCATTTCATTTTCATTTACCCAAGTGCCGCAAAGGCTCACACCTATGGTGGGGTAGGGGGGTCAGATGTACGCAGTCTAACCCCTGTACTAAAGCACAGAGAGACTGTTTCGGGATGACCCATAGTGAAAATTGAGTCCAAAATTGCATGCACTGACTGCTGCTTCATAACAAAGAAGCACATACAGTTTAGTGAGCCATTTTGCTTTATTACATCATAATATCAAGCCAAAAAATAATGAATCTTTGGCTCCATTCCAAAAACCCCATAATAATGTTCATTCAGGAAGCGAAAGTTGACTTGCGAACTTCTTTTTGGGGTTATTCAAACACCAAATTCAATGGTAACTTTTGTCATCATTTTATTATTATTATTATTATTATTATTATTATTAATTAACTAAATGACTATGCAATGGAAACTTAAAACCAAGCATGACAAAAGTTCAGAATGATGACAATAATAGGAGGGGATCTTAAAAGTGAGCATTTTATTGAGCACACTCATGGAGAAGCAAATGCAAGCAATCAAATGATACATATATACATTAACATGAAATAAATGAGAGGTCAGGATCGTCTTTGCTTCCCTCCCTAACAATTGTTCGAGGTGAAGTTTTTTTGGACATAATAACAATGTAATGTACAGATAGCCCGTAGCAGAGGGCTAAGGATCCACTGGTCCAACAACTGCATCATCACTTGAATCGTATTCGTTTTCACTCAGCTCCTCTTCGTCACTCGACATCTCTTCAGCTGCATCTCCAACATCTTCTGGTTTGGCATACTTCTGGCAGTACTCTGGAATATCACAGCACATGCATGTCAAACATAACTCAAAAGTGTGTCCATTGCCAACGCTCCCACACAATGTGGGGTGTCTGGTACAGTGCTATTGTTCAGAATCTTATTAAAGAGTGATGAATGAGTTTATAAGGCCATGGTATGACTGTCTAGTCGATTGAATTCAATCTATTAGTCTGATTTCACTAAGACATGAACTTCCATCCTAAAAAGGTCAACCATATATGAGGATGGGTTTGAAGTCTTCTGTATATGCTACGGAGTATTTCTTATTAAGCCGATGCTCATAAATTCATCAATGCCATCTTCACCCTAGACCTTATCCAGATACCTACAATCTGGACCATACACTTCTCATGGCCCCACACCTCATAGCGACAGCATTTTTTTATAAGGGCACGTGTCCTCACAGCCAGAGACTTCATCCGCTGTATTCTTTTTCGTAGGGGGCCATACAAACAGTTCACTTATGTGAGTTAGTTTGCACTATATTACGGACTGTTCTTTTCTGTGGACATTGACCCCAAACATACAGTTGACTTATTTCAGTTTTTTGTGGGAAACCAACTACATTATGTGTTTATCCATGTTTATTGACCACTACAAAATGTTCGTTTAGTTTCGTAGACCATCAAGGTATAACCCCAAAATTGAATAATTATGAATGTCTAAACCTAACTTGGATACTCGTTAAACTTTTAGAATGAAATCTCTGGCCTTGAATCCTTGATATGCTATCCTCTTCAACTATTCTTCTTAGCGAGGACAGTGATTGAGATGCACTTACTTATGGCATGACTAGCAAATGCTGATCCCTAGAACTAGACTTCGCAGCCCACAAAAACCCATCTGAACTGACCCTAAAACAACTGAAATTCCCAAAAGTCTTAAAGTGTTACTTAGCTAAACGATAAAAATTATAAACCTCAACAACAGTCATAAACCGACGTCAAAAATTGTCAATACCTTTAACTTTTAGTTCATATGCAGGGTGGTCCCGCATCATCAGAGCAGCTGCCTCCCCATTCAATGGGTCAGATGCGTTAGGGTACAATAGAAGTTGAGGAAGAAACACTTCAAATATGTTTACCAGATCTGCAGCACATAATTCCAAGCAAGGCATTATAACTCACCAGTATTTAAGCATTTATATGTTACCAGAGTTTCAAATAAAAGCATCTCAACAATTATAGTTATGGACTCAAACTCTCAATGATCAAGATGAGTGCAATCCTTCTCACCAAACATGGGGCTCCAAGTCTGATTGATAACATCTAAACAAACCGATCCCGACCTGAAAACCAACATTTTTTTTATCATTTTCTGGAAAGAAAAAAATTGGTAAATAATTTGGTAAAATTACGGTAGAAAGTAAAAGCTACTTGTATTAAGCATTTTGCCACCTACGTCTCATCAACATTTGGGTGGTACATTTTATTAACAAAGCCAATGGATGGAGACTTATAAGGATAAGCAGCTGGAAGTTCCACCCTTACTTTCCAAACACCACCTTCATAAGGACCTGTCACAGTTATTAAGAATATTAGTCAACATTGCTTCAAAAAAAAAGAATATTAGTCAACAAAAGTGTCCGTCGTCGGCACCATGCTTATGCTTTATCATCCTTACTACCCAAGTTTCTGACAAACACTAACTCATTTGATTACCTACATTCAATCCGTGGATAATACAAAAAAGAAGACACAGCAATACTTTTTTGGCTATATGGCTCGAATAAATCAAAATGACACTTTTAAGCATACTTCCATACTAAGAAACTACTTTCTTTGTCCCTTTTTTTTAGTAGAGAATAAAACGGTTAATAATGGTGGCAGAACCACTAAAGCTCATAGTAAAATAAGCAATCTGGCGTTCTAATAAAAATTGTTTTCAAAAATAGGCTTGAAAGGGGTATGTTTCCCTTTTTGATCTGTTTCAAAATAAACTTCATGTTTCCTGGAATAGGTGGTCCTTATCACTTGACTCATTTGTACTCAAATATCAACCACATCTTTCCCTTTTCAAACCTCTTTCTTAATAAGCATGTCAAAGTCAGAACTCAGAACTATATTTCTGGGCAGAGGGCTATGTTGCAGTAATTATTTTTTCAATTATTAAGCAAGTTCAGCAAGTTTTCATTTTCAACCATAACTACAATTTAAGACAAATTCACTCTTACCAAACGAAACTTAAAGTTCAATAACATCCCCCTCGGAATCATTGGATTCAAGATTCACAAGTAAGGCCAATCTTCACTAATTTCAATCACAGAAAGGAAGACACACGGAATAAGAAGATCAGGGAATACCCAAATAAGAAAACATCATAAAGGTTAAAGATTTTAATTTCTGATCGAATATACTTTTTAAAGGAAGATTGAGATAAGGATGGAGTTTAATTACTCTGACTGGGTCCATGGAAATGAACAAAGAACTCATGCATGCTATCATTTATCATATCCACCTTGTAGTCACTCATCATCCTAATTCATGGAAAATAATGAAGTAAAACAGTTATTGAAGTCAATTATTAAATTTTAAAAAGAATAAAGAAATTAAAGAGATAATAAGAGAAAATAACAGTTTCATCAAGTCCATCTCTCTGCGTTTGCTTGGGGAAGACATGATTCTCCTCTGGGTTTTCTGTTACTTTTGGAGAGAGAGAAAGGGAGGGTGGAGGAGAGAAGAAAAAGAGGGTTGCTTATACAAGGCTGAAGAGGAAATGAGAAGAAAATAGTTGAGGAATGAGGATGCCCAGATTGGAAGGAAGGAGACTGATTTGAGAAGAGACGTTTTACGATAAGGCCCCTTTAATTTAACTATTTGCAAATGTGGGAATGCTACTTCCAATTTCACAAAGATTTTTCTCCATCTCTTTCGGTAATTAAAAAAAGTTCTAACTAGTTATTCTGCCTTTAAATAGAATCATGAGCACATTTCTATTCATAAATTTTCCTCAAAGAAAAAAACAATTCATCAATTATCAAACTAAAATAAAGCTTGAATATAATCAAGCAACTCGAATCAATAATGTTACATTAAGAAAATAGTGCAATTAGTGTTTCGTATACAAAGTACAATATGTTACATTTTTCATAAGATACTGATGTTTCAGACATGTAATAAAAAAATTATATAGAGTACCAAGTATGTGTAATACATCTATCTATTTATATGTAAGAAAAAGAAATAACTCATAAAATGATAATATTGTCCAAGGAAGCATGTGTGTTCTACAATCCAAATTTCACTCCCTTATTATACAAAGTGGCTCATTAATTCTACATACGTAACACCAAATGAAGCATTTGTCAACTAAAAAGAAATGCAATGCGTGGACTCGATGTATAAAAACCTTTTTTTCTTTAAAATGTTATAACTTTTTCTTTTTTACTTCAATTTTTACAAAAAAATATATCAAATTTTATAATTTTTTAATATCTATTATTTGACATCAATATTGCATATATAAAAAAATTTAAAAAATGAAGTTTTATTAAGCACTATAGTCGATTATCAACTGGAATAAGAAGCCAAATCAAATTGAATTAAAATAAATGAAAATAACTTGTGAATTTAAATTGAATTTAAATAAATTGAATCAAAAGCTCACACTATTCATAATAATACACCTGCAAAGCAAAAGTTCTTGCATTTGAAAAGATATACTCCGTATAAACAAAAATCTCAAACCCTAACAATCTAACGATGGAAATTAAAGTAAATTAAAATGGAATTATGTAATTAAGTAATGAAGATGCAGAAAACCCTCTCGATGCATCACCAATTAAAAAAGGACAACAATGACATCACAGAAATGTTTAGAGGAAACTAAATGGCGCATAACCTCTCGGCGTGGAAGAATTGAGTGCTTTTTTGAACTGCTATGGCGGGCTGATAAGGTATTGACCTGCTCAATTATGCAAAAGAGGATAATTTTCTCTCTCATATATTGTGTGTAAGATAAGTCGGTTAACAATATATCCGATTTTTCTCTCATATGTAGTATTTTTAGATATAAGATTTTAGATATATATAAGAAATATTAAGCCATAAACCATTTAACAATTGAGCTAGATTTATTTCTCTGATGAGCAATTCTTTTAGGTATAAGATAACTCAACTAACAATTGAGTGGAAGAATTTTCTCTATCATATATAGTACTTTTAGGTATAAGATAAGTCGGCTAATAATTGAGCGGAAGAATTTTTTTCTCTCATATGTAGAACTTTTAGGTATTAGAAGATAAGATTGATAATAATTGAGCAGGAGAATTTTTATCTCATATATATGTAATTCTTTAAAGTATAAAATAATCCGCCTAACAATTGAACAAGATAATTCTCTCTCTCATATGTAGTGGTTTCAAGTATTAGAAGATAACTCAGTTAACAATTGAGCGGAAGAATTTTCTCTCTCATATGTAGTGCTTTTGAGTATTATTAGAACATAAGCTTGATAATAATTGAGCGGATGAACTATCTCTCATATGTAGTTTTTTGAAATATAAGATATGATAAGCCGACTAACAATTGAGCATAAGAATTTTCTCTCTCATGTGTAGTATTTTTAGATATAAGATAAGTTTGCTAATAATTGAGGGGAAGAATTTTCTCTTTCATATGTAGTGATTTTAGGTATTAGAAGATAAGCTTGCTAACAATTGAACGCGGGAATTTCCTCTCTCATACGTAGTTCTTTTAAGTACTACCTCTGTCCCACTAATATTGGGATGGAAGGGCATGGTACGATTATTAAGACAAGTGAGTTTATGTGACTGATATTAATTGATAAAGTAAGAACAAAGTAAAAATGATTTAGAGCACACAAACTTTACCAAATATGGTATGAGACAATTTTTGTGTTTTTTTCGAAAAGATAAAATGATGCATTATTAGCGGGACGGAGGAAGTATATGATAAGATAAGATGACGGCTAATAATTGAGCGGGTTAATTTTCTTTCTCATATGTAATGTTTCTAAGTATAAGAAGATACGTCGACTAGAAGTTGAGCAGACAAATTTTTTCTCTCATAAGTAGTGGTTTTAGGTATAAGGAGATAAGCTTGCTAATAATTGATCGGGATAATTTTCACAATAAGTAGTGCTTTGGGGTATTAGAAAATAAGCTTGCTAACACTTGAGAGGATGAATTGAGCTGGAGATTTTCTCTCTTGTATATAGTCTTTTAGGTATTAGCTAGAAGAGAAGTCTGCTTACAATTGAGCGGGATTACTTTCTCTCTCATATGTAGTTCTTTTAATTAAGTATAAGATAAGTGAGCTAACAATTGAGCGAGATAATTTTATCTCTCATAATTAAGTAATGCTTTTAGGTATATGAAGATAAACATGCTAACAATCAAGCGATATAACTTTCTCTCTCATGTGTAGTTCTTCTAAATAAAAGATAATATGTCTAACAATTGAGCGGGAGAATTTTCTCTCGCACATGTAGTGTTTTTAGGTATAAGAAGATAAGTCGTCCAACAATTGACCGGGAGAACACTCTCTCTCATATGTAGTTCTTTTAGGTATCTGTTTATAATTTTGGATTTAAAATTTCTCTCCTTAATCCTATCGCAATGTGGGGGGAGGGGGGGGGGGGGGGGTACGGTAGATACTATTTTTGTAACACCCCCAAATTTCCCGCCCAAAACATTGATATATTTAAAAGAAATACTTTATTCATTCATCAAAGAGTTGAAGAAATACAGCGGAAGTCTAAAAGGGAAATGGGTGTTACCGCCACATTCGGTCATCTCTTAACCGAATGCACAGGCAACTTAAAGTAAAACAATAAAAACTAATGTAATAATAAGTAAATGTTAATTTCATGACTAGATTTAACTAAGGCATCTTCTAATTCGCACTCAAGCTCGGACAATCCATCAATCCACATAGGCATCTAACTCATCACCTGATAAAATTTAAGGGAGAAGAGAGAGACAAGAGAAATAACAAAAATTAGTTTTAGAGCTAAGTAAGTACTACCCAACCCCGTAAAATAATCAGGTTTGACAAAAATAGATTTTTATATAATATCATATAAAAATGACGCACTCCACCAAAATACTTTTCTCTTTGATTTTTCTAAAATTACTTCTTTGCTAAAAACCTCAACTTCTCTTCGAAAATCTCCTAGTATCTCTTCTCTTTAAACTTCTTAAGAAAAACACTTCTTCTCTAACTTCCTAGTAATTTAGAAGGGCGGTGCTCAACCTTTCGACTGAGCCCGGTGGACCGTGGTTACGGACGGCCACCCCGAACAAGTGCCGGTACCACAACTGCTCTGTTGGAAACGAAACGACTACCTTAAGTGTGCACACCCCCTAAAAGGGATTCCAAGCCCTCCGAGTAGTAAGTCATCCCGAGTGGTCGGAACCCAACCACCCCAATTCTAAAATTCTTGAATGATTAGGGACTACTACTATAACTTCTTCTTAAAAGGGATCATAGATCCAAATCTTACTTAAAAGGGATCATAGATCCAAATCTTGCTTGAAATTTAAATTGTACTTCTCAGTAGTAGTAGCTCTAATCACCCTCCACATTTATCCGGATGTGGAAAAACCGACACCTCGGATTACTCCCGAGATGCTCACTTCTTATGAAAATGTAAATTTTATCTTTGCTTAACAATACTTCAAAAATACTTCTTGATTTCTCTAAAAAAAGTCTCGAAGGTATTTAAAAATATTTAATACCCCAAAAGTACTTGATTTATACTTCTTAACTACTATATATATAATATCTCCTCAAAATCACATACACAAAATTCACAATTCACACGTAATCACATAATGCATATAATAAGCATATAATACGAGGAAACAATTTTGGATTGGCAGAGAAATTTACCTTAAGTCCTGTTGCTCCTAGTTATCCTCCTCTAATCCAATGCTCCTAATTCTCTTCCTCTACTCCGGTCTCTAAATAATCACCTTTTTAATTAAGATGATATAATTAGTCACTTATTCTATTTTTAATAATTTATCCAAATTTTCCCTTTTTATATTTCAGTCTGATTTGATCAGCTTTTAACCAAATCTGCCCGGCCCAGCTAATATTTTTAAAGTAACCCAGTTCATTAAATTTTAACAGCCCAGCCCAATAACATAAAACATGATACGGAGTAAAACTCAGAGTGCAGAGTTACGTACGTACTTCGTTCGCCGTCTTCTCGCTTCATCCTCAACCGAGAGCATCCAGGCGGAGATGACCGGCCATGCTGTCCCGAGTTATTCTTCTGGCAGGTACGATCTCTTCCGGCGTGTGGCAGCCCGGTGGCAACAACAGTTCAGCTTGGGTGGCGGCGTAGTTCAGTGATCTCCGGCGTTTCAGGCGAGCGGCGGCCGGACCCGTCTCCTCCGGCAAGCTTCGTATCTTTTTCTCCGGCGAATATGCGGTGTCCTCGTTTCCGGCAACAGCAACTGCGGCCTCTCTCTCCTCCCTCCGGCATGAGCGCAGTCCGGCGAGCTCCGGCGACTTCTTCTCCTCCGGCCGTCCTCCTTCGGCGGCACCCTGGTTTCCAGCGTTCGTTCACTCATTACTTTAGGCGCAGGTTCTCTTTCTCTCGCACTCTTTCTTTTCTCTTTTCTCTATTCTCTCCTTCTTTTGCCGGTTGTTGAACGCTCGTATATGTTGCAGGTGTATAAATATACTTCGTATATGTAATGTAGTTACGTATATGTAGGCGGCGGTGAGAAAGGAACGTAGGAGTCCTGATTGTAGTTCCTTTTTCGTACGAAGTCATATGTTAGGAGTAGGTTTCTATATT